CTTCAATTTCCTAAAAGCATGATTTGATTTGATTTGATTTGTAATCCTTTATTCAATATTTGTATTTTTATAAAGTAGTAACCTCTGTTTGGGGGCCTGCAGTTGGTTTGTATGTCCGATCATAACTCAGAACCCCTTTTACCGATTCATCTCAAATTTTAGATTGGGATCTCGGTAGAACCACGGAAATATATTTAGCTTGGTTGACAAATTCTAAGTTGGGAATTTTCCTTTTACAGACAAAGCCGGGTGTCCAACGATTACGTTGGTAACATGCAAAGGAATTGAGTCTTTGTCACAAACCCCGATTTTCTAATCGTTATATCTTTGCGAAGATATAGGGATTTGAAAATTTTAGTTTGTGGCAAAGACTCAATTCCTTTGACACAAATTTATGATTACTTGATTATGTGATTAAATGACCAATTTACAAAGGTTCTTTTCAACAATTTCCTAAGAAACAATTTAAAATATTATTGGTTTCCTATCTGGGATTTTTTAAATTCTGGTCAATCTATCTCTTTTGCCTCTACTGCATTAAACTGCAAGCCACTTCTATTGAGAAACTGCAATTGAAAACAATAAATTTTCAGATAGTATCTTATCTCATGTTTACACAGACATGGTTTAAACTATAAAAGGGACCTTTGCAAATTAGATATCTACATTTTTAAATAACTAGGCACTAGGCAGAGAGCACTTCGCGTCCATCTTTCAACTTTTGATTGTTGCTCTATTTCTGAGCATTATCTATTCAAACATATAAAACAAAAATATAAAAGAATTGCTTTCGTGTATTTTCAAAATAAATTTTTTTGAGTGAGAGATGTTTAAAAACTAGGAAACAAATCCCAATTTTCTAATACCTATATCTACAACCAAATTATGTAAACCTTAGATATTTCTAACTTTGATTGTTTTATATAACAGAAGTCATAGTTTGAAATATCTAAGGTCATCAACATTGGGTTGTTAAAATATCGGGATTTGATAACTAAGAGTTTGTGGCAAATACTCAATTCCTTTGGCGGCTAAAAAACAACATTAAGAAAGCTAAAATTTCTACCAAGAAAATAAACCTTTTTCAAACATACATTAAAATTTCTTAGAAAATATATAATCGGTTATTGAATTTTTATATTTTTTCCTTCTATATTCTATCCTACTTTTTATAATGCATGAGAGTCAATAATTCCCAAATGAAATTCATATTGTTTTATTGATGATTAATTCTTTCTATAGATTAAACAAATCATGCAAAGAACTAGGATCATTAACAAAAATCATTATTTCATGGATTTTAGACAGTTTCATGCTCACAGGCAAAATCAGTTTTTTTTTCAAAGAAAGAAGGAAAGTTAAAATTTTCTAGATTAAAAAAACAATTTTTTGTTCAAAAATTATCATTCTTGCTTTTTTTGAATTATTCAACTTTAGAGCCAAATTTTTCAAAATTGTAAAATTTCAAAAATCAAATTACTCTACTTAACCAACAATTGTTTGATATTGATCGATATAAATGTTCTAGAGAGCCGGTTAGCAGTGTCGAACGAGTACATTAGAAATGCTTTACAAAATTTTTTATTTCCTTTTGAAAAATCAGCAACTGCAGATGCTTTTTAAAAAGTTTATAAAAATTAAAACAACAGAATTGACGTAAGCAGCAATGATAAGAATTTTAACTTTAAATAAGTTTATGAATGCAATTTCCTGGTTTGATATTTTCCTTTCATTAATCACATGTTTACAGAAGGGTGAGGAATATATTGACTTGAATGCATGAAACAATCTGAAGAATATTCTGGAAAAGTGTGAAATGTGTGAAAACTTTTTGCATTTTCTTCTCCTGTTTCCCGGATTTTCAGGCTGAATAAAGAATATCTTGTAATTGGCAGAAAAATGGCCAAACTCTGCCAACTGGGGCTTTCAACCTACAACTAACCTTAGTCTAACGGAAAATTACAAATTGAATTTTCAAGATTAAAAGGAAAATAGGTCAACTGAATATTCTTTAACCTGGCCTCTGGGTTCAAACATTCTCATTTTTATATTTCTCTTTTTCTTGGATCCTTTCAAACCTTTTTGTCATTTTTTCTTTCCAATCTGTAAACATAAAAGGCTGCTTATCATGTTTATATCTTCACATGTTCATAACCCATTTTTTCAAGGCCTCCTGACAAAAAAACTCCTAAGCTCCTTATCTTCTAATTTCCTATAATCTCCAAATATCCTAATCTCCTAATCTCCTAATCTCCTAATCTCCTGATCTCCCAATCTCCTAATCTTCCAATCTCCTAATCTGTTAATCTCCCAATCGCCTAATCTGCTAATCTGCTAATATCCTAATATCCTAATCTGCTAATCTGCTAATCTGCTAATCTGCTAATCTGCTAATCTGCTAATCTGCTAATCTGCTAATCTCCTAATCTCCTAATCTCCTAATCTCCTAATCTCCTAATCTCCTAATCTCCTAATCTCCTGGTTCCTCGACTATCTCCAATATTCCTAGTAGATCATTTTTGCATAATCTCCTAATCTCCTAATTATTTAATCTCCTAATCTCCTAGTCTCCTAATCTCTTAATCTCCTAATCTTCTAATCTCCTAATCTCCTAATATTTTAATCTTTTAATCTCCTAGTATCCTAATCTCCTAATATCCTAGTATCCTAATCTCCTAATCTTCTAATCTTCTAATCTCCTAATCTCCTAATCTCCTGATCTCCTGGTTCCTCGACTATCTCCAATATTCATAGTAGATCATTTTTGCATAATCTCCTAATCTCCTAATTATTTAATCTCCTAATCTCGCAGTCTCCTAATCTCCTAATCTCTTAATCTCCAAATCTGCTAATCTCCTAATCTTCTAATCTTCTAATCTCATAATCTCCTAATCTCCGAATCTCCTAATCTCCGAATCTCCTAATCTCATAATCTCCTAATCTCATAATCTTCTAATGTCCTACTTTCCTACTTTCTTACTTTCCTAATCTCTTAATCTCTCAATCTCCTAGTATCATAAGCTCCTAATCTTCTAATCTCCTATACTCCTAATCTCCTAATCTCTTAATCTTCTAATCTGCTTATCTCCTAATCTCATAATCTCTTAATCTCATAATCTCTTAATCTCATAATCTCTTAATCTCATAATCTCCTAATATCCTAATATCCTAATCTCGTAATCTCGTAATCTCCTAATCTCATAATCTAAATTTCTTAATCTCCTAATCTTCTAATTATTTAATCTCCTAATCTCCTAGTCTCCTAATCTCTTAATCTCCTAATCTTCTAATCTCCTAATCTCCTAATATTTTAATCTGTTAATCTCCTAGTATCCTAATCTCCTAATATCCTAGTATCCTAATCTCCTAATCTTCTAATCTTCTAATCTCCTAATCTCCTAATCTCCTAATCTCCTAATCTCCTAATCTCCTAATCTCCTAATCTCCTAATCTCCTAATCTCCTAATCTCCTAATCTCCTGGTTCCTCGACTATCTCCAATATTCCTAGTAGATCATTTTTGCATAATCTCCTAATCTCCTAATTATTTAATCTCCTAATCTCGTAGTCTCCTAATCTCTTAATCTCCTAATCTTCTAATCTCCTAATTTCCTAATAATTTAATCTGTTAATCTGCTTATCTCCTAATCTCCTAATCTCCTAATCTCCTAATCTCCTAATCTCCTAATCTCCTAATCTCCTAATCTCCTAAACTTCTAATCTCCTAATCTCCTAATCTCCTACTCTCCTAATCTCCCAATCTCCTGGTTCCCCGACTATCTCCTATATTTCTAGTTTGCCTAGAGCTTTATAGATCATTGTTGCATAATCTCCACTTTACATAATGTGTCTTGTATCTACAGAACAAGAATATATGGTCTTCCCTCTCGCATACATTTTTCTTTTACGTAAACCAGAATAATATCCAAACCTTGTTCTTCATTTTTAATTTAAAAATGAATATTTTTGCCTTTCATGCTTTTATGAAAATAATAAATTTTGTCGTGGAATTTAACTTTTTGAAAATCAGCAATTTTAACGGTATCCAACTTTCAGTTTTAAAATAGGGGCAATAAGGTGAGAGGGAGGGAGGTATTGATTAGATTCTAAAGGGGGGGGGGGGTCAAAAAGAAGTTGCATTGTAATTGTAACTCAATGTGGATTGCACGAGATATAAACAACTCTGAATGTCAGCCATCAACTTTTCAACCTAGATTTTTTAGCGTCTCAACACCTTGGCCCTTGGTTTTACCTCAACCATCTTACTTTTTTACTTTTTTGTATCCCTAGGTATATGCATTTTTAAAAGTCAATGCGAATGTATCCAGCTCAAGTTTAAATAGAGTAATTGGCAAAATACTGCTTAGTTTTATTGGGAGAGCGTGCACAACTTGGTTTGCAGTGATTGGACGTTTGTAAAAAATAAAACATTCTTTTATAATTTTTTAAAAAATTTGCATAAAGAAATTGAGTCTTTGCCACAAACACTCATTTTCTAATCCCTATATCTTTGCAACCCAATGTCGTAGACCTTAGATATATCCATTTATGAATTCTTGTAGATCAAATAATCTAAGTTTGAAAACAGCTGTTTTCAAAAGAATGTCATAACTTGCATTGGTTTATCATTGGATTTCTTTGGGAGTTTATTTTTCCATTGCTTATTTTTTTTGAGAATAAATGATACATTCCAAGTTTTTATTTGTAAGAAAAAATATTAATGTAATTGCGCATTTTTTTGACATCTCCAGACAGAAAAATGGAGTGTTGTTTTTTTTGGTTACTTTTAATAACACATAATTGTTTAAAAAACGCCTTTGTTCTAATTTAATTCATTTTTATTAAAAAAATTTTACAATTTTTTGTTGTTGTTGATAATGTTTGTTGAACTGAGCCTGGTATCGAGGATAGTATCCGAGGTTTGAGAGCGTGGAAACGGTCTATCCAAGTATCCAAGCAGAGCCTTGATACCGAGACCCGTCCTTCAGTTCTCTAGATATTCCCAGCGGAGAAACCCGTCCTTCAAGTTCCGAATCCGGGGAGTCTAGTTTACACCATTTAATTCAAGCAGAGAACTAAATATAAGTGTTTTTGTATTATTTAGCCAGGCATTGATTGAAATGTATCTGTAGTGTATTGTATACTGTGAAAATATGGTTTCTCTTAAGCCTATAGTTTAAAGACGGTTCTGCATAGTTGTGGGATTAATCAAAATCAAACTTCTCCAACATCAAGATAGATCCTTAGTTTCAAACTTTAAGGTAACTGGGGTTTCTCAAAGTAAAAGTTTTGCATCAATGTATTTCATGTATTTGATATAATACATCTGTATGTAAACTTTTTCTTTTGTAATTTTATTTTCTGTTTGTACAGGCTTTGATAGTAAAGTAAATCTGTTTATTTACAAAGTAGATAAAGGAATTGAGTCTTTGCCACAAACTCTGAATTTATAATCCCTATATCTTTGGAACCCAATGTTGTAAATCTTTAATATTTCAAACTTATATTATTTGATCTAACAGAATTTACAGTTTGAAATATTTAAGATCTACGACATTGGAATCCAAAGATAAAGGGTTTAGAAAAGCAGAGTTTGTGACAAAGACTCCATTACTTTAATTACATTTAAATTGTCCTTAAAATAAACTTTTTTCTTGAGTCAATAAATGTAAAGACAGGGTCCAGTACCAGCTTGTGAAATATAGAGCAATGGCGGGAGTTTTTGTCACAAACTCAAATTTTCTAATCCCTATTTCTTTGCAACATGGTGGTGTAAACATTTTTTATTTCAAACTTGGACTATATAACCTAACAGAATTCATAGTTTGATATTTCCAAGGTCTACGACATCAGGTTGCAAAGATAAGGGATTACAAATTGGAGTTTGTGGCATGAACTGAGTTCCTTTTAGTCGGTGTTACCAACTAAAAGTTTTGCTTATATAATGGTTGACTAATACAGGCCAAATCTACAAATAAAAACAGAAAATCTTGCAAAATTTTCAAGTTTTACCATGTACGAAGAAAAATGATGGCATAGAAAAACAACAAACAGTTTTTATTAAAAATCGTTTTTGTTCGTATATTTGACTTTTCTAACTTTTTTATTTAAAAATTGTATTTTCTTTTTCTAACCGCAAAAAAACTTGAAAGTAAGTAGTAATTTTTTCGGTTGATTTTATCATTTTATTTAAGAACAAAGCAAACCTTATAGTGAACAGGAATTGATTTTTTGCCATAAAGTCAAATTTTCTTATCCCTATACCTTTGCAACCTGATTGCGTAAACCTAAGATATTTAAAACTTAGATTATTTAATGTAACAGAATTCACAGTATGAAATATCAAAATTGGGTTAAGCCGTTTTGACGTTTATCAGTTACAAACAAACAACCGAACAGACGAGCAAAGTATATATACAGATGGGTTTCATATGAAATAAAAACGTAGTTTCAAGTGGTCCACTGTGATCTAGACAGAAGGATAATTCGAACGTAAAATTCATGCCTCATTACTGTTACTACTTTACGACCCTGAAGCACATCTAGTTTTGATTTTATGAAAAAGTGTGAGAACAGCAAATTTATTCTGCTAAATACATATTCTGCTAAATACATATTCTGCTAAATACATATTTAAAATACAAAACATTTTTGTTCAATTTTTTATTAAAGGGACTGTAAGGGAAAAATGAAAGGGGGTGAAGAGTAAAACCTGAGAATCTCAGGCGTTGAAAGAGACCTACAAGAAATCTATATGATGATTCTGTCTCGAGAAATTGATATTAAGTCTTCTATTTATCATTCAACGCCTGAGATTCTCAGGTTTTATTCTATACCCCCTTTCATTTTTCCTTTACAGTCCCTTTCAGAAGAGTCTTACGTGCAATTTACCTTAGTTTGACGTGGGCCATTCTTTTTAAAGAATGGTATGTGTCCACTGCACAAACATAAACATAAACATAAACATAACATTTAGAGTTATTTTAAGTTTTTAAATACAACTTTAACGAAAGAAAGAAGGAAATATAATTAAAGTACGTAATGTTTATGCAGATATGGTTTTTAGCGAACAAAACCTTTCGCAAAACAATGCAAAATTTCACCAACATTTTCTTTCGTATTTCGCAGACTTTCGCGATTTCCTCATTTCACTGGAAACCTTTTGCAGAATGCATATCTTTCCATTAATTAACCAGTACACAAATTGAAAGGCTTGATGAAAAAAGAATAATGTAAAACAATGTTCTACTTGTACTCAAAACCCACAAATTTACACTGAATGATGAAAGAATCGAGTTTTTGCCACAAACTCAAATTTTTGCAATTCAATGTCGTAGACCTTTGATATTTACCATATTCTTTGCATCAGGTTGCAAAGAATATGGTAAAAGCAGCTCAATGTTCATAATGATTATATAGACCTTAAGTATTACTTACGGTTCAATAATTTAAGATTAGAATAAACCCTGAGAATAATGAGCTCTAAAATGTCTCAAGGATCGAGCCTTTTTTATTCTGCAAAGTCTTTTTTTTAATAATTTCGGTTTTTGAGAAGTAAAAATATTATTCCGAATCTTATGGTTTCTTGCGTTTTTTTATAACATAAAGAAGCCGCTTTTTTTACCAAAAGCATTATATTTTATGTCACGATATTTGAATATAGAATATTTCTAATTATCATGCAATAAAAAAGTAATAAAAAATGTTTTCCCGACCGAAGTGAGTGATTCAAATTCTTGAATTTTAACTAAAATAAGTGAAAAGCACGTACGTACGTTAGATTAAAATCTCGGGCGATATTTGAACTTTATGGGCCTGCTGTTAGAAAAGTTGAATAAAATTGATTAATATCTATTTATGTTATCGAAATAGGTATTATTAATTGCGAAAAAGTTTTTGGCCGAGATTTTTATTTTTTGTTTAAGATAAAAATGAAAGTATTTTCACACCGAACGAAAACAAACTAGAAAAATTAAAAATTATAGCAAAAACTTTTTCGCACGCATGATACCCATTTCAAAAACCTAAATAGTTTTATTCAGTTTTACTCAAATTATTTAAAAGCAGTTCGATAAAGTTACTTAATCACCCTGTTGTAGGGGGATTAAGTAACTTTATTACCCTACAATTTGAAATTTTAATAGCAAGGTGAAAAAGTAACTTTTTCGCCCTGTTGTAGGGCGATAACGTCACTTAATCACCCTACAACGGGAAATATTAGGTGTGATAAATTCCATCAAAATTGAATAAAAATATATATGCGAAAAAGTTTTTCTAGTTTGTTTGAGATTAATATGAAAGTATTTTCACACCTAGGCGTGAACATTATTTTATTTTGATATCAAACAAACTAGAAAAAGGAAGAATCCCGACAAAAACTTTTTTTAAAGTAAATATCCATTGCAATGAGATATATAGATATTGCATTTCTAATATGTAATCAAATAAATTTGATTTTCTCAATCCAAGATGAGCTACGACGAGGTTACACAGTCTCATCAGTATTGTCCCATAAAGGAATTGAGTCTTTGCCACAAACTGAAATTTTCTAATTCTTATATATCTGCAACCTGATGGTGTAAGCCTTTGATATTTCAAACTTTAGTTTTTTAATTTAACAGAGTTTATAGTTTGAAATATCTTAGGTCTACGACATTAGGTTGCAAAGATATCAGGATTTGAAAATCAGAGTTTGTGGCAAAAACTCAATTCCTTTGACCTTCTCCTTCTCCTTAGTGCAGTGTGATGCTTTTCTTGATTTAATTTAGAAATTGAGAATATTATGAATAATTACTAAATATTGTGTTAATAACATCCCTCTGTGTAAAATATGAAATATTTGCAAGATGGTGGTTTTTGTAATTAATGCGGTATTTGGAAAAATATTGTTCTGTAGTTTAAAATAAATTGGTAAAGAATAGATACTGTTGGGGGAAAACTAATCCCCCAACCCTCCAGGCTCCTTTCCCCGTCCCTTTCAACGTAATTATTAGGGAAGAGCCGGTATAAATTCTGTACAATCGTCTTTGTGGGTATACCTGTGTAAATAAAACTATCTTTAAGTGATCCTTGTAGTTTTCCTTTGAAGAAGAAGAAAAAAACACAGTTTAAAATTCACAGCTGATTCATTGATGTTTTTTCAATAATAATCATTTGAAATGTACAGAGGACTGTAAAAGTAATCTTCAGTAAACCTAAATTGGAACAGAAACTTTAAAAGATTCTTCTGACCATGAATCAATGCGCTACTAATTTTTATCTTGTAGATGTTTGATTGTTTTCTCTCTGAAAAATTGACTTGAGGATTTCTGCATACAGAAACAGAAGAGTTGATTGTCTGAATCAAACACTTTATTTTCAACATTATTGATCAGATTACGGTTTAAAGGGTTTCGTTTTGAATCGATTATGCCCCTCGTTTGATATTTCAACGACAGTCCCTTTTTTCTGACCTTTCATAAGGTTGTTTGATCCGATCAGATGTCTTTTGACGTTTTTTTACATACAATAAAAGCATTCAAATAGATTAATAACAGTTTTTGCATAATACTTAATCTGAAGTGAGCTGGGAACTTTTCTGGTGGTTACTCATAATATCGATCATTAGATATCGATATCCACTGTGGGCACTTTTAATTTGAGGATCAATGCTTATATCTCTTATATCAAGGGTACGATTACATATGCGGATATCGAATACAGATTGAATTAATCTGCAGATTAACAAACGATCGAGATCAAGCAATGATCTCGATATCTACATTCCAAAAGTTTCCAGCTCTGGATGTGTCCCTTTGAAATGAAATTCTAAGCATCCTAAGTACCAGAATTTTATTTCTGTTTATAAATTAGGATTAATTTCTCATCAAACAAATAGAGATTTATCTTCAGAAATATAGTTATATAATTGAATTTTGTAAATATCAAAACACTATAATATTTAAAATATTAGATATATATGTAGGCACTCAATTTTCAGGTAGGAAATTGAATATCTCAGTCTCCCTTTACCGCGGGTACCGTTGTGAATAGGACATATCATTCTACAAATATAAATTTCAACTACGGTTTACTTTAAGTATATATCAGAGTAACGTTAAGCTTTATATATCGGAGCATCACATACATTATATTTCAAGTAACAATTCTATGAAAGCACTTTAAACATTTTGCAAGATATTTGATCTAAAAGCATCAAAATACTTGAATCAAAAAGAAAAGATATTATTTCAAATATTAACGACGTATTTATGCGAAGGATGCAGGGTTGCCCACAAAGGATGCGACTTTAGAGAAGACAATTTCTCTTTCAAATTTCCGGATTTGAAATAGAAACACAGTCGATTCTATTTCCGACAGATGATTTGATATGCACCTTTTAATTTTTTTAAGTAAAAAAGTCCAAATTAAACTTTTAAACTATATTATTTTAACAACTTTAGGTCGCCATTAAAGTCTTATCCGATGTGGGTAACCCTGTTTGATCTATAAGATTTGGTTTGTTATAACGAAGTCTTGTTTGGTTTGGTTAGGATGAGGTATTTTATATAAGGTTTGGTTTGGTTAAGATAAGGTCTTGTGTACAAGGTTTGGTTTGGTTAAAATGATGTGTTGTATATAAGGTTTGGTTTAGTTTAGATAAGGTCTTTGTACAAGGTTTGGTTTGGTAAAAATGAGGTATTGTATATAAGGTTTGGTTTTTTGTTCATAAAAGGTCTTGTGTACAAGGTTTGGTTTGGTAAGAATGAGGTCTTGTATACAAGGTTTGGTTTGGTTAAGATAAGATCTTGTATACAATGTTTGGTTTGGTAAGAATGAGGTGTTGCAAACATGTATTATATTAGTACGGTTGACTTAATCCTGCCAAAAACACAGGGATAATATTAATGTTTATCCAGTCCCGGCAATAGGTACATATTTATTTATGCTGTCTAAGGAAAGATTAGATTTTTTTACATTATTAATTAATTGGGTTCAATCAATTTGAAAGGTTACGAAGATTTGAATGCCAAAAATAAATAATCATGAGATATGCAAGAACGGCTTTACCATGCATAAAAAAATAACTGTTTCAAGTTTAACGACTTAAACATATCTCTCTGTTGTCTGAAGGAACAAAAAAGATTTTAAGAGTCTTTATTAATGGGACTGTACACTTAATTTCAAGTACGCATCCATTTATAAAGTGGCATGTTCGTTTCAAAGTGAATACCCTGGAAAGCTTTGTCTGCTCTAGATGAATGAGATATCCATAATTTCTCTCTAAAAAAATAGTTTTCTCTAAGGAGAAAAGGAGAAAATTGTTACAAATTAAACTCTTGTTTAAGGTTGAAAAACGACAATATCTGCCATATTGGAATTTTAAATGGAACCATTGTGAATGGAGTATGTCCCTCTTTTTTAATGACAGGTCACAGTTCCGTTAGTGCTTGCTTCAATGTTTTTAGACTTATTAAAAGCCTGTGACAGATTAATATTTTTTATATTATTTTTCTAAATAATTTTCTCTTTTATGTAATTCTTTTTATATTTGAAAACAGACAGTTTTTCGCTGGTCGAGACATTCAATGCTATGACATTTGATATTTTCTGATCAAGTAGATGTTGGTATTTTAGCCCGGTCCAATCTATGACGTAAAGCAGTAAATTTTTAGATTAGTTTTTATTTTCTGGTTTATTGAATGATGCGGTCCAACCATAATCTTTAGAATCAGTTGTTTTACACATTTACAGAGCTTAAGTTTATCCAAAGTCTGCCCTTATACCCTAAGCAATAACAGTTTTTGCATAATACTTNATGAGGGTTTTATTAACCTTAAATCTTTTATTCTATTCTATTTGGAGTTCTGCAGGGTTTCTTTAGTTGAACCTAGTCCTAACCTGGAGAATATAGTTCAAACATGTTCTATAATTATATAAAGATTTATCAGGATTAATTTGCTCTAGGTTGTTTACAAGATACAGGATGATCACCTACTCTCCAGTACTCCTGACAACCATCTGGGTTCTCCTGGTTCAAACCACTACAGGAGGTAGGTTCATGGCAGGATTTGAGGAGAAAGGATTATGAGGACGAAGAAGGAAGGAGAAGGGACGAGAAGAGAGAAGAAGGGAGGAGAAGGAAGGGGAAAGAAGAAGAAGGAAGGAGAAGAAAGTAGAAGGAAGTAGAAGGAAGGAGAAGGAAGGAGAAGGAAGGAGAAGGAAGGAGAAGGAAGGAGAAGGAAGGAGAAGGGAGGAGAAGGGAGGAGAAGGGAGGAGAAGGAAGATCATCAGTATGATGGGAAATAATAAAAAGTAGAAACGTAGAAATATAAAATGTTTTGATAAATAAGAAAAACACTGAGTTTTTCAATCAAGACACTTGTTTGCTCAAGTTAAAGAACAATTGAAACAAAATGGTTTTACAATAAACTATTTCATTTTATTTAAAATGTGGAAAGACATATTGTACTGTTTTGGTGTAAAAACTAAATAAAAACATTTATTTGTTGCACCTCTAACCAATAATACCACTAATAGATAGTGCTGGGTTTAAACACACTTCATTAAAATAAAATCGATCATTTTGCCAACTAGTCGTTCTCGTATTAGTTTAATCAAACACCATTATTTATTTTTATACAGAGAGAACCAAAAATCAGTGGAATTCAAATTGTTTTATTTGTTTTATTTAAAAAATTTTGCGAAGGATTATGAAATTTGAAACTGAACTATTTCTTAAAAAAGGGCCCTGTAACCAAAATTAATGAATAGGAGATGTGCGTAGAACAAATTGAACAAGCTCTCTTGAGCTTGATCCGACGCACAAGAGAACTGGTTGAACCGGTGGTAGGTAGTTCAACTACTTCTCATTTTCATTTAAATTTCTAGAGATATAACAGTTTCATTATCAAAGGATGAACAAAGAATATAATCATTCCACAGTTTTCTGGTTCTCACTGTATTAAAATAGTGAACATGTGTTTACAAATAATAAAGTTTTCACTGTTTCCCAAAAGAACATGTAAATGGAGTAGAGTTTAAACATAGAAATGTCAAGTACTTTAAAGAAACCCCGCCCCATTGTATCTAAAATGACTCCTTCCTTCAATGTAAATACGATGGTTTGTAAAGTATCTTTTTGTTAAACCATGCTCTTAATCGATCCTTCTCAGGGTATACTCAGAGAATTACATCCAACATTCTCGGTTAAGTGGAAAGGAAGGAAAACTGTTTTTGTATCTAACATTGGTCGGTTGCACAGCAGAGAGGAGACAGATGGGTCGGAGAGGGTTGGAGTTGGATTAGGGATAGATCTGAAAGGGTTGGAATTGGAGTAGGTATGGATCTGAAAAGGTTAGAGTTGGAGTTGAAATAGATCTGGAAGGGTTGAAGTTGAAGTAGGGATAGATCTGAAAGGGTTGGAGTGGAGTAAGGATAGATCTGAAAGGGTTGGAGTTGGAGAAGGAATGGATCTGAAAGTGTTAGAGTTGGAGTAACGATAGATCTGAAAGGGTTGATGTTGGAGTAGGGATGGATATAAAATGGTTGGAGTTGGAGAAGGCATGGATCTGAAAGGGTTAGAGTTAGAGTAGGTATGGATCTGAAACTGTGGGAGTTGGAGTATGGATAGATCTGAAAGGATTGAAGTTGGAGTAGGGATGGATTTGAAAGGGTTGGAGTTGAAGTAGCGATGGATCTGAAAGGGTTGAAGTTGGAAAAGAGATGTATCTGAAATGGTTGGAGTTGGAGTAGGGATGGATCTGAAGGATCTGGCGTGGAGTAAAGATACATCTGAAAGGGTTGGAGTTGGGGTAAGAATAGATTTGAAAGGGTTGGAGTTGGAGTAGAGATAGATCTGAAAGGGTTAGAGTAGGGACAGGTCTGAGAGGGTTGAAGTTGGAGTAGAGATAAATCTGAAATGGTTGGAGTTGGGGAAGGGATAGATCTAAAAGGGTTGGAGAAATGGGAGGGGGAAAAGTAGGAAATACTTACTCCATAACAATTTTACTCAAGACGTATCTATCCAGGTCTACTCGTTAGCATGATCAACCAGGACTAATTCTCCGATTCTAAATTTCACACAGGCAACATCTCAACCAGGCTTAACTCTCCTGTTTTAAAGGGCACACAGTCCAAATCTCCAGTCGTATAATTCAACGAGGACCCAAGCAATCTTTCAAGTTATATTCGATATAATTGCCAATTATCAAGGCAAGATCTACGCTCGTATGTTTCAACGAGAACCCAGACTATCTTTCGAGCTAATTATTCAATAGCTTAGATTACAGGAATTTACGTAATTCAGTTCTACGATGTTATTGATATCACATGATTAAGACCACCGTATTGCGTATTTATCGCAAAGTTAAATTTTAAGGCATTATTTAAAGGTTTAAAGAGGTCTGAGTTAACGCAGTAAATCTATCTCTGCCCATATTTTATAGTGTAATTTAAGTATGTCGCATGATTTAAGCTAAACATGTTTATAGATATTCAATTAAAACGAAGTTTCAATGAATAATAATATTATGTTTAAGTTTAAAACATTTAATCATTATGATTTACAACGTAATGCAAGTTTACAGAATATCATGTTTACGCGCTTTTTGCTACTATACAGGGAGATCTCTTTTTCAGACAAAAGTTTGTTCGAAAATATACATACAGGACATTTGATGGAACAGTTGATAAAAAGACCAATACAAATCTATTATAAACTTTAATTGACTTCATGCATAATGCAAATGCATGACAAATTGGAAATTTTGACATTAAATAACGAAATTCACTAAAAATAAGATATTTTTGAATAAATTTAAAAAGGAAAGTGGAGATGATCTGAGACATTTCCTTAATTTTCATCAATTCATGAAGGTCTTGAGTCTTTACAACAATTTCAAATGTTCTAATTCCCATATTTTTGTCTCCTGGTGGCCTAAATAAAACTTTTACATTTCAAACTTTGATTATTTGATCTAACAGAATACACAGTTTGAGAAATTTATATAATAAAGCTCTTCGCTCATATGCTAACTATAGCTGGCCAAACGGCTTGACGGAATGGTCTATTTTTTTTGAGTAACCCTCGAGTACCCCGGGGGTAACATAGGTGAAAAAAAATCTTATTTAAAAATCGATTTTTAAAATTCCACGGGCAACTTCTGGCAATTCAGCTAGTATCTATTTCGGGATATTTGGTTAAAGCATAAAACTCTAGTATGTATAGTCTAAATTTTAAATAATCAAAAAATTAGCAAGCATACGTAACCATTTATCTTCCGATCCTGATGATGTACCCCTTTGTTTATTCACACTTCGATTTTTGATAAGATAGAACTCTCATAGTTTAAAATATCTAATTGGGTTGCACATATATTGCTTGTTATTAAATTGGGGTTAAATATCGGTCAGAATTTGCATTATGCCTAATTTAGTTAAACCCTAAATAAGCCATACATCAAAAGAATTTATCAAATGTCGTCTTGACAATTTTTCAATGGGTTTTATACTATTTTACGTAAATCTCAGTAAATAAATAAATAGCCATGAATATGCGGGAACAATTTAAAAGAGCTCCATATAATTATTTGATTAAAAAACTAAATATCTGCAACATTCTATCAGAAAGTGAAGAATACGACATTTGATGAATTCTTTCGATGTAGGGCTTATTTAGGGTGTGACTGTATGTTCACAACGACTTTAAGTTCCTTCCTGGAATTTGACTTCTCAGGACAATGAATAAAGTTTTCCAAATATCTAATACTAGGCTTTAATGCATTTTTTGCGTGTTTTGCTTTAACAACTGAACCCTTCCAAAAGAAAAAAACACTTAAAGGGAAAAATAGAAATTTTGTTTATTCCTTTTACAGGAGTGGAAAATTTAACATTTCTGAGAAATCTATGAGTTTATAAATTGAATCGCTGGGATGTATTCACTACAGTAAGTATATTTAAGACTTTATTCAAGATTCCGGATTCTTGAATAACCCCGGGGTATTTGATAATACATGGGTTCTCAAATTAAATATTGAAGCAAGTCGGTCAAATATAATAGAAAATTATATTTAATTCTAAAAATATCAGGAGAATTAAAATTGTTTATGATTGATGGAGCGGGTTAGAAAAAAAAAAAAAATTAATCAAAAGAAGGTGGTAGCTCGTGCCTTTGGTCTGTGTTTTTTTGTAATAATTATTTTCCTTAACTGTAGTTGCACTTTAACCCTATAAAGGCTGGGGTGGATCGTCTGATTCTATATTTGGACGGGGTGGGGGGGTTCCCACGTCCCACCCCTTAGAAAAAGGCCTTAGAGAATAGCCCAATTTTTCAAAGATAGATAGATAGATAGATAGATAGATAGATAGATAGATAGATAGATAGATATATTGAATGATAGATAGATAGATAGATAGATAGATAGATAGATAGATAGATAGATAGATAGACAGATAGATAGATAGAAGGTATATCCCGGATGGAATAAACTGAAATTCTTAATTAACTGAATAGAAATTTATAGAGCAGAGCTGAACAATGTTCAGAGTTTCTACTGCATTCTACTCTCTTACAAGAAAAGGAAACAAATATGCAATATTTCTAATTTTGATCTACCAAATTTTTGCCACAAACTCTAATTTTTTTAATCCATATCTTTGTTATCTGATGGTAAAAAACTTAGACTTAGAATTAAACAGAATTCATAGTTCGGAATATCAAAGGTCTACAGCATGAGGTTGCAAATATATCGGGATTTGTTGCAAAAACTCATTATCTTATCTTATCTTGAATTTATTCTATTTTCGCAGATCAAAACTGACACAATTTACATTCTTTTTGGTGATTAAAGAGGTAACATTCACGCTTTATGCAAAGGAAATATAGAACTTTAAGGAAAGGGGGATTGGTGTTTGTTTACATTTTACTCTGACCTATAAGGACAGTTCTAGATGTACTCTAGATGACTTTAGTATTCTCCAACTTGTATTTAGGTTCCTTGAGTTCTAGAGGCTTCTCGATTCTTGAACTCTAGTGATAACTCTACAGTTAGCTCTGTATTTAGCTTACCTAAATTCAACTATACCCTGAGAATCTCTATAGATAGCTCTGTATTGAGATTCCCTTAGTTCTGATCTACACCCTGAGAATCTCAATAGTTAGCTCTGTATTTAGGTTCCCTGAGTTCTGACCTGTACCAAGAGAACCTAGAGGCTCCTCTATTCTTGAACTCTAGTGAAACCTCTATAGTTAGCTCTGTAGGGCAGACTAGTTATCTCTATTGTGGAGTCAGCAACCTTGGAGATAGAGCGGTGAGTAGTTCCTATGTTCATTTTTACAATTAGCACGTCAGGAACGGGGATATTTACCTGAAAACGTACCAAGAACGACAAGAACCACAGATATGCCCAAAACCTGCTGTATTTTACCGATAGCACGCTAGGAACCCGATATATCCCTTAATAAGCGTCCTTATACTTTAATAATAGCATGTCAAGAACAGCGGATATAGGCCTAAAACGTGCTATATTTAACCTATAGCACGCTATGAACCTGATATATTCCAGAACATGTGCTAAATTTTACTAATATTATGCCAAGAATCGGAGATATGGCTAAAAAATCAGCTATATTTTACCGATCGCACGCTAGAAAACGTGCAATATTTTAATATTTTAATAGCTAGCTAAACACTGGAGATATGCTTAGATTCCTGATATATTTTACCAAAAGCACGAGAAGAACCAAATATATACCCCAAGCACCGTTTTGTAAACATACTTTTAATTTTAATCCATATTTCATATTTGTGTACAGAATATAGATATATTGTTATATAGCTAGCCGAGATATAAGATTGTATACGTTCTATATAAGAAAAATGCAGGAAAATAAAAAGTAGAATAAATGTAACTTTTAATCTAATCTTGGGACCGAATCCACATTCACTAAGATGTATACACGGTCAAGAAATGTCAATAACTCATCTGATTGAACAAGAACAAATAGAACAAAAATAAAGTTTCCGTATTCTATGTTATATATTAAAAAAAAAAACACTTCACATTTTTTTCTCTCAGAGGCTTATTTTTTACCCGATCATAATGAAATCAATATCACAATGTCTCTAGGGTGTTAGGACTACGTAATTTGTTTTTTTTTCTCTTGGGGATGGAACTTATAAACCTACGTGTAAAAACAAACATTTGCAAAGCTAAGAATGGTCAAGAACTATATATTTTTCATGACGAATTAATTTATTATACTAGCCTTAACATTTCGCAACAAAGCTGGAAATACTTATTAAAAATTCACTTCTAGAAATTAACGTTAAGAGTTTCTATAAATACTTTTAAAATTAATGAACTGGTGAATTTTATTTTGAAGATGAATAAAAGATAGCTCTTAAAGTACTGAGTATGCAGGCAAAAGATTCTAATTTATTGGAATTTAATATTAATGTTTCACTTAAAACTACAGTTATAACCAGAAAACTCTGGAATTGGAAGTCGACTTTTAAGCTCAAGTTATGGATTTGAATAGGCCAATAAGCATGAGACACAGCAAATGTGCAATTTAACCAGACCCATTTTACTCGATAAGTGATTTAATAACTTGCTAGTAAAGCTTTTAACTTTGAGACATCAAATGCTTTAGCGTCGTCTTCCTATTCTACAGTTTTCTGAATATCACTGTAAGTTCACCAATCCTTTAACTTTTTTAGCTTTTGGAATGAATGGCTTTAGAAAACGTAATGTCAAGCACTCCTCCCTGCAAAGATGCCAATGTTCGATTCACAACGTTATCCTTGAAAGCTTTGTCTGATCAAGTATGAACTAGACATCAACCAACGAGGTTAAAGTGTTTAGAGTGATGATGTACGCAAATCCTTTACAAATTGTATAGGCCATCAATTATACCGAGAGCGTACTTCATATTTGTTTATTATAAGGAGATTATGGCCTAACCTATAGTATATCAATATTAGTAAACAGTTGTAAGTGTACAGTACAGCTAACTGAGCACACAGGTAAGAAACTATCATGCCCCCTGATGTCAACGTATATGATGTTGAACACTCATTATTTTTAATTGTGACTTCTCTACAAAAGTGACTTACACATTTCTACTGCAATTAAACCTTGAAAAACGAAAATATCTTCAACATTTTTTATCAGATAACGGTTTCAAGGTTACGGTTGTGTATCAGGCATTGCCATCATTGAATGGAGCTTCACTTGAAATTAAGCTTACGGTCCCTTTAAGCTATTCCTAGAATAAAAAAGGCAAGAAACAAGCTTTTTTTATCGGGGTGACAAAAAGTCCTTCTGAAAACCAAGACAGACAAATTTGTACGTTTTTATTTTACACAATCTATTGAAAATAATTTTGTAAAATCAATCTGTTCAAAAATAAAAGCCCCGAATAGAAAGAATGAAGTCTACCTTGAAAAGAAAAAAAATAAGTTTACGATCAAGTCTGGAGAACCCATTGGAAAGGATTTAGAATGTCCATAAACTTTTAGTATTTCCAATTTTTTCTTCAATATTTTGATTATATCGGTCTCAAAATAAATTTAGGGCATGATTTTCACTTTTCTGCAATGTTGTAAAAACATATTTTTGGCGTAAGAAAGAAATGAGTAAAACTTTTTAATGCAAGATGAATTGTACTTTCTAATTGAGTGAGACCCATAAATCTGTGGAATAGAAAGACGATCTTTTGCAATCTTATGTTTATTTGATTTATTTTTTGTTTTATGCATTCTTGAAAATACAATAATTTATGTGTTTCATTTCCAGTGGACCTTTTCAAATCAGAGCTTTAATCAGGCTTTCAGACTAAAATCGATGAGAACTTTGCCAAAACCTTCATAAAAACTTTAAGTTAAACGTGAAGTGCGTAGAAATATATGTTTAACCCTGTAAAGGCTGGGGGGTCTGAATCTATGTATAGCCGGGGGGGGGGGCGTCCCAAGCCCCCTCTTGAAAAAAGTCTTTTAAGAATAGGTATAGAGTTGAAGTGCATGTTCATAGCCCAATTTTTCAAAGCCAACTCATTGAAAAAAAAATTAGATCGATAACTTTTATAGTTTGGGTGCTAGGGAGGGTTAATAAAAATGCCCTTTAAAAGCAAACAAATATCAAAGTTTGACACATGTTTCTACATTCAATTTCGAGGGCTTTTCAAAAATAAAGTTTTTAGATCTGTATCTTTAGTAATAAAAAAGTTATAGGCTATGCATTAAAAAAAAGAAAATTTTACAAAATATCCTTAAAATTTCTATTTATCAAAAGTAGAAATATTTAACAGTGATAGTGTCAAAAATGAGAGTGCTAGGACAAAAAAAGGGGGAGCGCCAAACGCCCCCCCCCCCAAGCCGTTTAGGGTTGTGACACTTTCGGAAATAAAATAACAAAATGCATTAATGTAGATAAACCTTTAAAATAATAAATATTTCTGTCTTTCTGTACATGTGCTTGTAACCTTAACCTTAAAAATTCATATCCTAAAAAGCATGAATTCTAAATATCTATCTTAACCTGGAATAAGAAATATATCCTATTTTCTATCAAAGAGTTACCTGGCTGTTAAGTGTTGAAGAAAGAAATGTAAAGCTAGAATTTTAAAAAGTATGAAAGAACTAAAAAGGATAAAAACTTTTATAGCTTAAGATTTTGACTTAAAAATCCAGATTTAAATCAATCTAAGATCAGACATTTTTTGATTATACAAATTACACAAATTTTCTTCTGGACTAAAAAATATTAAAGTCTGGGATGTCATGGCTGTTACGGTTGATAAAGTTAAGTTACAAAGTTAATAAGAATCAACGGCATTGCGACACTTTTTTTAAAGTCGACTAAATTATGCAACATTTGTGGCGACAAATCAAAACAGAGTGCTTGCAACGTAAATTGTCAAATAAAAAAAAATTTCACTGTTTCTTGATTAAAGTCAAATTATTAAATACCAATTTGCAGTCGCAAAATACAGTCAAAGATATTTTTTTAATTATTAGTTTTATGAATCAATTTACGGCGCATCTATTCCTATTATGGTTTATATTATAAATATCTAAGAATATTTATATTTTTATATGGAAACCATTATACATTCTTTTATCTTCACACTTGGATACACATATATTCTCTTTATACCTGGCTTGCTGGAAACTATCTATCTATCCATACATCTATCTATCTATCTATCTATCTATCTATCCATATCTATCTATTTATATCTATCTATATCTATCTATCTATCCATCTATATCTATCTATCTATCTTTATATACTATTTATCTATATTTCTATCTATTGAAATGTATATTTTTCAAGTAATTTGGAAATTTTTGCTGAAATATTTGAATTCAAAATTACAAATCCTTCCTTAGCGACATTTTATGATTAAAAGAAGGACAAATGGTTCCCTGTTTTCTGATTTTCACTGTAGTTCTTGATAAGCTGTAAACCATACTCATGGGCCTCGTTTTTAAACATTTCATGTTATTGGATATTTTAATATTTAAGGTTATTGGATTTTTAAAGGCTCCTCCAGAGTCTCAGAGGTTTAACCTATGATTCAAAATTGTATGCTCGACAAGTTTGCATCTTTTATTACATTATTCAAACTTTTTACACTAGCCAAAGATATTAAATAACGCGATTTTTCAAAACAATTAGCAAAATCGTTTTAAAAAATCGTTGTTGTTAATCATATCTTTGGTCAGAGAAAAAATTTATGAAATAAAGGCAAACTTATATAAAATTGGATTTTGGTGTGTATTTAACATCTAATTTTTATTGAATAAAATAACCTTTGAATATGTAAAAACAGAGTTCTTCCCTAGACTAGACTCTAGTGTATGAGACAGCAGTTTTATCTGAATAGGAACCGTCAAATCGAATTTTGAATATTGAAAATGGCCAATAATGCCCGCCATAAAAATCCCAATCGAACATAAAAAAGAAATAAAATGTAAAAATTATTCAGAAATGAAAAAATAGTTACTCCCATGAATTGAACTATAATATCCATAATTTAAAACTTCAAAAGGACTGCTCATGATCCCCAAAAAAAATCGGGTAAAATAATCTAAAATTCCTTTTCTATTTGAGCTCTAGTCATGGTTTAACCTTTCTTCATATTAGTATTAAATATCTATTTATTTGTTCTTTTATATTTGTCGGTTTTATGAATGTCTCAAGCTAGAATTTCAATTTTAAGATTATTATTATTACAACTAAACCGCCAATTATTTTTTGTATTTTTTTACAAAGCATGGATAGAGGAGCCTATATTTTCTATCGATGAAGGTAATTGAATTAAAAAAGCATTTATTAATTATTAACCTTTTTTCTTTTCGTTTAAGTGTTGTATACTATACAGTTACGGTTAAAAAAGTACATAAATGCCGTGACGCGCCATGGTGTACCACGCGCGCACCAGGGTGTACACTGTACACTGTAAAGGACACAGGCCACGCCAGAGCCGGATATTTAAGAGTATTCTTGAACGAAGGCTTTTGTGTAGATTTTGATTTAAGAAATTAGAAAAAATGGAGAATATAAAGAAAATAAATAATATAATATTTCGGAACAAAAATGTTGGTAGCTACAAAACTGCATAATCTCATTCATTAAACCGAGTTTCCGATACTAGGTTTCATTAAAATACCCACTTTTAAGTTTCGGGCTCCAGGGTTACATTTATGCCACTGAACTTCATGCACTGCGAATCAAGAACCCCGCTACCACTCAAAATCGAGCAGTATTTTGCCAATTGCTCCTTTTAAACTTAGGCTAGAAACAAGACCGTTGCAGTTTTAGAACGTACACATGCCTAGGAATACAATAAAGTATAAGTTGTCTTGGTGAGGTAAAGCAAAGGCAAAGTCAAGGCTGTCTAAAAAGTTTTACTGTAAAATCGGGCCTAAGCTGAAAACTTTAGAATGGTGGATATCAAGATTAATGCTTAAACTCCTGGTTTTACTAAACCCAAGATTATTTTAAAACACATTCGATATCCAAGAAAGGAGTTAAAAATTTAACCAATCAGCGTGTCATACTAAGTTGTACTCTTTAACTTTTGAAAAACCGGTTTTGAATTCCGGTGGTGATGGTGTCATATCAATTGAACTAAACATAGATTGAACGAACGTAAGTTTTGAATTAATGTTTATTAAGACTAACGTGCAAAATGACAATAACGTTCAAACACTGTATAATAAGAATACAAACAACCATAGAGAATAGAATATATAAAGAGGAATTAAAAGAATCTCTCGGTATGAATTTTTTCAGTCCCTTTCAGCCTGAAAGGGAGTTCAAAGTGTACAAATCATGTAAATGTTCACAAATTATATGCAGTAGAGTACATTAATACAGTATGTTCCCTAGACTATCCACTTCAATTTTGAATTTTTTAAACTGTTAAATAAACTTTATAATGAATTAGGTGAATAAAAACATCATTTGATTTATAGTTATAACGGAAAATCATCGTTTGTAAAGTGGAAGGCATAGAGTCTATGTGAAATGATCATTGGTCAATTATGAAACCAGCCTATTTCATAATTTGGTTTTCTTTTAACAATAATTTTAGATTTTCTATAACATGTTATATAGCATAAATATGTGAAGTACACCTGCAGTATGGAAACAGTACAACAAAATGGCCGTTTTACACTTTTTTCCAGTAAATTCCTCTCTATATATTCTATTCTCTATGCAAACAACCCTCGTTTTCCTTAGTTTACAGTTGGTACTTTCTTTAAGTAAAGAAATGGTGTTTGACAGTATAATGGTGAGTGAGGAGTTTAGTTATAATTTGTATACAACAATACAATATAGATACTAGATATACAATATATATACAATATAGATACTAGATATACAATATATATACAATATATAGATACAAGATATACAATATATATATAATACAGATACTAGATATACAATATATAAACAATATAGATACTAGATATAAAATATATATAATATAGATACTAGATATACAATATATATACAATATAGATACTAGATATACAATATATATACAATATAGATACTGATATATACAATATATATAATACAGATACTAGATATACAATATATATGTACAATATAGATAATAGATATACAACAATACAATATAGATACTAGATATACAATATACATATATACAATATACAGGGTGTCCCAGGAAACATGGCAGTTGGTGAATATTTTTGAATTTCTTCTTCCATATACTGCATAAGATATTGAAGACTTTTAGTGCAGTTTATTTAGTTAAAAAGTCTTACTAAAATATGTTTTATTTTGAAATCAATCTTACTATAATACGACTATCATATACTATGTTTTATTAGTCTCTTTACTATCAAACAGATTAAAAATCATGGAAGAAGATACTAGATATACAACAATGTTTTTAATATTCGTGACAGAAACAATCTCAAGAACTGACGAGGGTCAACCCAGACCGAAATATATTTTCAATAAATGTGGAACTAAAATTTACTTTTTTCACTCTACAGAGGTTTGGTCCATCAGCATCACCGAATATACTATTACTAGAAATTCAAGGCGCTTCGCGCCCTTCTTTCTAGCCTTAGAGGGCGCTTCGCGCCCATCTTCTAAATTAGTTGTGAACATGTTCTCTTTGTGTACATCGTAAAACAAAACAAAAATAATTCGCGGATTTTCACAAAAAATTTCGCGGATTTTCAAAATTTTTAAAAATTTAATGACGATCGAATTTTGATGGAGACAAATATTTGAAATTTTGATTTTTCATAAACCTTCCCTGGGGTCCCTAGATGTCCCACAAAAAATTTGGGCCCGATCGGTTCAGCCGTTTTGACGTTTATTGGATACAAACAAACAAACAGACAAACAGACATAAAGACAGACAAGCCAAATTTATATATAGATATTATATACTATATATAGATCCAACATATATACAACAATACAATTTAGATACTAGATATACAATATATACACAATATAGATAATAGATATACAATAGATATACAATATAGATACTAGATATACAATATATACAATAAAGATAATAGATATACAATATATAAAATTATTAAAAGTTGATATTATTTTGCACTCTTCTACTTCAATTTTTGTCTATCATTTTGGAAAATTAAAATATAAATATTTCGTAGGTTTCTTGGATACGGTCTAGAGATCTAACAATTCTCACAATAGGTAAGCTGATTTATTTTAAAAGGACGGGAAAAGGAGTTGAGTTTTTTGCCACAAACTCAGATTTTTTAATTACTGTATCTCTGCAACCTTTCTTGTAGACCTTTGATATTTCAAACTAAGAATTCTGACAGATCAAATATTATAAGTTTGAAAGATAAAAGGTTGCAGCGTCTGGTTGCACAAATAAAGTGATTAGAAAATTGGAGGTTGTGTCAAAAACTCAACTCATTTAGAAATTTGAATTTTAATCTAAGAGAAATGCATGAATTTGTATTTAAAAATTCTTGGGTAGGAAAATGTTATCAAGAATAAATGTAGTGCTTGCTAAAGTTTACTCTGATATATGTTTAAAGGTTATAGATTATAGAAGCCTAGTTTCTATCGATGAAGGTAATCGAATTAAAAAACATTTATCAATTATCAACCTTTTTTCTTTTCGTTTAAGTGTCGTATACCATACAGTTAAGGTTAAAGAAGTACAGAAATGCCGTGACACGCCAAGGTGTACCTCGCGCGCACCCTTGTGAATCTGACATGCCAGTGGATAAATGTTTGGTAACTTGAATTTACGTCCCTTGGTGTTAGTGTGTATGCATGAAATGCCAAAACGGCTGAACCGATCGGGCCAACATTTTTTGTGGGTACCCTCATATGACCCTGCAGGGAAGGTTTATGAAAAATGTTGGCCGGCAAAAGATTTCGGCATTACTATCTTTGAAAATGCAACAATTTAAAAAGAAAAGATGATTCCAGAGTACAAAATAAAAATGCGATTTACAAGAAAATAATTAAAAGCTAAAATTTTTAATAGAAAGGTGGCGAGAAATGTACTGAAAACTTGGTATTAAAGATTCCAGGATTTTAGAAAATTTTTAAAATGTTTCCATCTCGGTAAAATCTTGCCAATTTCATAGAAATATAATTTCAAATAATATTTCAAATTTTAAAATATTCTGTCCACATATTGAGAATAACTTTACACATAAATTGGAAAAACACTATTGGAATGTTTGTTTGTTTTTTTGAGGGGGAGGGGAAGGTAAAATTGTTCCATGTCGAATATTAAGAGGCACATTTTTTGGTAACATTTGGTCTACATAAAATTATTCTTTAAGAAAATTTCTCCATGATAACAATACTCCTTGATAACATTACTCCTTGATGTAAATTACTCCTTAGTAACATTAATTCTTGATAATATCAGTCCTTGATAATATCACTCCTTGATAACATTCTTCCTTGATAACATTCTTCCTTGATAACATTCTTCCTTGATTACATTAATCCTTGATAACATTACGTCTTGAAAGCATTACTCATTGATAGCATTACTCCTTGATAGCATTACTCCTTGATATCATTCATTCTTGATAACATTACTCCTTGATTATTATACCTCTCTGTAATATTTTATTTTAAAAAAAATTATATGTAGATTGTAGATAGATAGATATTTGAATAGTTTTGGCCGGAAAGGTTTAAAATAAAAAATGGCAGTATACTTTGCTTCAAGCTGTTGGAAATGTTCGGATACTGATATTATTTGGATAGATTGATTTCTGATAGAATTTTATCCTTCCTGTATATGCTTTCTATAGTTTCTACTCAATATTCAGGAAGGGAGGGGAGGGGGGTGAGGTAAACAAACTCTGTAGGGGGTTGACAGGGTACACGGCCATAGGGGAGGGGTTATGCAGGAACATGGGCCAACGGGCGTATAGAAAAATGTGTTTGAATAAAATAATTTATTGAAAAAAATACGGAAAAAGAAAAAGGACCCTCCCGCGGGGTGGGGCAAATCAGAAAGATTAAATAGATATTAAAGGGAGTGTTCGCGGAAATGAAAAGGGGAAATATGGATTCGATCGACATTTTTAATCAATTAATCGTTTTCCTCAACTTTTGACTCGAGCGCGTCTGATCGTTAATGCCGCGCATCAATTATATTTTGTAAAATTTGATTTCTCTCCTTTTAGCACTAAGCGTTTTCAATCATTTCCTCTTTCTAGATGCTTCAAATAGTAGTAAAATTTGTAATAATCGTATCCAAATTTGATGCTGTTTCAAACAAGACCATCTTCATTTTTTCCCGAAAAATCCCTTTTTAAAGGAGTACTTTAAATTCTTTTAGAGGAAGTTTGGTAGGGGGGGTGGGGGGTCAGCATATTTTATTGACAATTTTTGATTGAGGTTAGTTTCTTGTTTATTTATATACTTATATACTTATAATAAATGGTCTCCTATTTATTATATTTGTTGATGCATGAGAACCAAACAGTCGACATAATCAACATTTATAAAACAAATCTTAAAGGGACTGTAAGTTAATTGCAAGTGAACCTCCATGTAAAGATTGCAATACCTGATTTACAACGGTAACCTGAAGCGCTTTGTATGAATTAGATTTCAATGTTTTTTTTTGTTTTTGATTTTTTAAACTGCTCCTTCGCAAAAGTGTCTTGTGCATTTCTTGCTTATAAGAAACAATGGAGAAATTATCACAACTAAACACTTTCTGGGTCAGAAAAATGACGATATCTTCCACATTTTTAAATCAGATTAAGGTAACGAAATAAATCTAGAATTGCCATGGAGGACGTGGAGGGTCAGAGTAAATTACGCTAAAAGTCCCATTAAGAATTATAACCTGGAAGCAAATATTGTTTAGAAGAATTATATGATTTGCAATCATAAACAGTAATTATGCTTAGTAAACCAGGGGAATGATCTTACATAAGTATAATTAAAGTTGGGATACATTAAAAAGATTAAAGGGACTGTGATCGTGATTTTAAGTTGAGATAACATTGTGATTCTATCTGATAATAAGTAATTTCCAATTGTTATTTATATCTATGAAAGTGACTTGCCGGATTTATGAGCAGAATTTAACGAAAAGAAAAATTACGATAATTTTCTCATTTTTGGTAGATAAAGTTGAAAGGGCACAATTGTGAATCGCGAGGTGTGCAATTATTTCAATTTTGACAAAACGTTCAACTGGCTTTTTTATTCTTTTTATTTTAGGTTTACAATTTGTGTACTGTAAAAAACCGGGTTGTATGGAATGTGTTTTTGTAATTTACATTCAAACATAAATATAATATTTATGTCTGTTTAAACGTAAAATTTGTAGTTTTTCTGAGAGAAGAGAAGTCCCATAGCTTGAGTTTATTGTAAAAATACTAGAAATACACTTCACGTCTGTAGTGCAGAAAATGTTTATTTAAGTTGCCACTCATACATTCTCTTCATGGTCCGTTTTTTAACATTTAAATTTTTGACTTTGAAGTTAAACAAATTAACTGGGTCATTCTGTAAAAATTTTATTTTTGTTTTGCCCAAAGTAATTACGTCAATTTGTCACAAAATCTGATTTTCTAATCCCTATATTTTTGCAACCCAATGTCGTAGACCTTTAATATTTCAAACTAAAAATTCTTTTTGATCAAATAATCTAAATTTAAAATATCAAAGGTTGCAAAATTATAGGGATAAAAAATTTTGAGTTTGTGGCAAAGACTCAACTTCCTTTCCATGAAAACGACCAAATAATCTTGCAAAAGAGAATTTTTCAGTTAGCCTAGATCGGCTTTTTATTGGCTTTATATTTATCTTGATGGTTTTAATATGTAATACTACTAGCCGCCAAGGTTTGAAAAAGATTTTCGAAAATAAATCCCTTTAAAAATTCAGCCATTTTTTATAACCGTTTGGCAAGCTATAACGAACAATTATATGATATATATTAAAATATATAGATAATTTGAAAAACCCTGACCGAAATTCATTTAAAAAAAAGTGATTTTGTGGTTTAAATCTTTCTTCAACCCTACATGTAATTTTCATTTAATGTTCATGTAATGTTCATGTATTACAAATACAAGGGGTTTCTAAAAACAGTTTGTGTTTGGCTCATTTGATCGGACATTTTTCAACAAAATTTTGATGTAAAAAGAAAGAAAATTGGTTTAGAATAAGGCTCTTGCATCCACTAATGTAATGTTTTTAAGACACCCTGTAAATCAAATCTACTTATGTCTAACAAATCTCTTTATTTTCAGGAATGATTCGGTACACCAGGGACAACAGGTTCACAGCTATACATGCAGAGGGAAATAATTTCTGGGGACTAAAGGTAATTTGTAACTGAACTTTGCAGCAAACTGTTTAAAGAAATTGAGTTTTTGCCACAAACTCCGATTCTAATCCCTATATCTTTGCAACCCAATGTCGTAGACATTAAATATTTAAAACTTTGTATTCTGTTAGATCAAATATATTTGATCTATAGTCTAAGTTTAAAATATCGAAGATATGCATCTACAGGTTGCATAGATATAGGGATTAGAAAATGTTAGTTTGTGGTAAGGGCTCAATTCCTTTTTCAGCTAGCATTATATCTATGTAACCTGATAAGTAAAGTCACTTAATAATCCCTTTTTGCTGTATCCAGTGTCCATGATAGTAATATACCCTGTTTTTAAAAATCCATAAACAATTAAGAAGGGTTTCTGAACAATCCCCGTTATGATGAGTCCATGAAAAGAATATATGCTGTATTTTTAAATCCATGAATTAAGTTACCACTTCACAACTCCTGTTTTGCAGAGTCCATGGATAGATTATATCCATAACTTACAACCCTTTATATTTGTTTTCCATAGCCCTAGAAGAGAATATATCCTGTATTTCTAAATCCATGGATGAAGTAGAGTCGCTGTATAAAGTGTCCCCTTTGGGAGAATATATCCTGTATTTCTAAATCCATGGATGAAGTAGAGTCGCTGTATGATTCCTGTATAAAGTGTCCCCTTTGGGAGAATATATCCTGTATTTCTAAATCCATGGATGAAGTAGAGTCGCTGTATAATTCCTGTATAAAGTGTCCCCTTTAAGTGCCTCGTATTAAACTAACTTTTCTCATAAAAAGTTTAAATATTCAATGAAACACAATCAATGATTTTTTCCAGGAAATATATTTACACTTCCTTCCTTCCCTGACTGATAATGCAGGTTCTGATTTGACAAATGAAGACTAATATTTCAATGGAAAAATGTCAGAATAAAAGAAAATAAAAATGTGATTTTTGCAACAAAAATTCAAATTGTTGTTCAAAACAACAAATACTTCTAGTCATTACTTTATTTTTTTTTAACACAAATAATATTCTTAAATACTCATACAGAATGCGGTGGGTGAATCAACAACATAAATATCAATTCATCACTTTAAAGGGACTGTTACCGTAATTTCAACCTAAACTAAAGAGTTAAAGAGCATGCCCGATTTACAACGATGTCCTTAAAACCGGCGCTACGTCTTTTGTCCTACACATCATTTTTCCTGGAGATCATTTGTCCAACGGGCCGGGAATACTGCATTTGTCCTACACATCATTTGTCCTACACACCATTTGTCCTACACACCATTTGTCCTACCCATCATTTGTCTACACATCATCTATCCTACACATCATTTGTCCTACACATCATTTGTCTACACATCATTTGTCCTACACATCATTTGTCCTACACACCATTTGTCCTACACATCATTTGTCCTACACATCATTTGTCCTACACATCATTTGTCCTACACATCATTTGTCTTACACATCATTTGTCTTATCCTCATTTGTCCTACACATAATATGTCCGACATAGACGAATATAAATTTATTGGTACGCTAAAATATTCAATGAATCCCGCCAATCTGAAAACTTATTAATTACAGGTTCATGTTTGATTAAGCTCTTTACAAAGGAATACCATTTAGTTTTAGAATCAACGGAAATTATAACCCCCCTTGGAGTTAATGATAAACCCTTGAGTTTCCATTGGTTTCTAATATAAATTATACATTGTAGCAAAATGATTCTGAATTATCTATTATTGGAAAAAATCCAAAAATAAACTCATATACTTCCAGGAAATGTGTCACAGAAAACGTCATGTTTAATATTAATAAGAAATAAGACGGAAAACAAAAATTCCCCATTCTTTTAGTTCCAGGACATGAAACAGATAATTCAATGTACTTCCAAGAAATGATTATTATGAATAATGTTTTGTATTTATCCAGTGATATCATTGAAAACGTCATGAAAAAGAGCATACAATACTAACAATGGATATTAGTGTATTCAAGGGTGGTTAAAGGAGGGGGCAAAGGATATAATGCCCATTGCCCCATCTTAGACTGTTAAGACTGCCCAATGTTTCATTAAAACTAAAAATGATCAACTTCCCACAAGTGTTCTAAGGGTATCTTTTCAAAACGTTCAAAGCTTTTGTTTTTGTGCTTATTACGCATGAGAACGCTCTTTTTTTCAAATCTTGATTCTAAGAACTTTGAAATTAATATTTTGTTCGGATTTTCCTTTTTCATTACTTTTTGAAAGGAATATAATTTAATTTATTTAATTTGAAAGAACATTTGAATTTACTGTGTTTATTTTAAATTGGTCAATTTTTTAAATATCTTTTTAAAAAATCCGTGTTCAATATTAATAATGTAAAAGTAAATTGTTAAAAGTTGGTCCTAAGTTGTTCTTCTTGTAACAAAGAAAATTGAAAAATGTTACAAACTAATATTTAAGGAACACGTTCTCTACTTAGACATAGTTTAAAAACATGCTCTGCTTATTTTACTTATTTTTAGTTTCCCCGCTTATTAGCGTGCAAAAATTGGAAGATTCGGTTTCTTAAATTACGAAATATATTTTTAAATTATGTTTTCAATAAAAATTAAAAAAAATAAATAAAATTGCATCAAAACATTTTTTAAGTTCAATGTCTTCTTTATATAATATAACTTGCAATAGGTAGATTTCTGACTTATCAATAACAAATTTTAGAAATGTTTATTTCGAACACTGGCAAAATATTTAAAACTCAATTTCTTTGTGTGAAATTTCAGTGCCGTGTGAAATAAGTGAGAATTTATATATATATTGACAATTGAGTTTTAGAGTATTCAGGGGGTATTTTTAGTGTTATGAATTTAGTAATACAAACAGAACATTTTGTGTTAATAATAAAACATTAAAAAAGTAGTAAGACTTGTGGATTTCTTGCTACTGAAAAAAATAAGGAATTAGTGAGAACACTTTACACTTTATCTTCCACACTTTTAGCCTGATTAAGGTTTAAAGAATGCCGAAGTGAATCGGACATGCTCTCTTTAAACAGAGCACCACTTTTATAATCACAATTACGTAGTTCCTTTAAAAAACGGAAAACCTCGGAGTTTATAGTTAGTTTAGTATCGATCTAATTCAGAAAAACTGGATTATTATGTTTTATTTCTAAAAGGTGAACAGCGCTTTATTATAAATATTTAACGAAATTTTTAATTTAATTTTTAGATTTTGAGTCCCCGAGTAGAAGATTCTGGTTTATATGAGTGCCAGGTGTCCTATCATGATGATGTAGAGAAGAAGTTAAAACTACCCTTCACACTCACTGTTCTAGGTAGGGATACAGGGCACAGGTAGGGATACAGGGCACAGGCAGGGATACAGGGCACAGGTAGGGATACAGGGCACAGGTAGGGATACAGGGCACAGGTTTTTCTAAATAAACAGAAAATTCCGGAAATGAACGGAAGAAATGTCTAGCAAAAAGTTAATAATTTTTATAAATTTAAAGGGAGTAACCAGCTATGTAAGGTAGTTGAACTGAGTATGCAGTGTTGTGGAAAACTTCTTTCGGATTCATTTGAGACATACTAAACTTTTTAAAGATCTGTAAATCCTGAGTTTGAGCGCAAATTCGACGTTCTAAACTCCTACTTTGGGGGTGGATACGTTTTCAGAATTAGTTTTTTTTTAATCATTAAATAACGAAGACATACAATATAAAAAGTTCTTTAATAAACTACAGACGTCATGTATCGGAACAGGTTGAAAAAATAAAAATTAACTGTTATAATTAAAATAAATATAATATATTTATTTTAAAATTATTTTTAGTCATGAAAATGGTTCCTCATTTTCCATGTGGTTTTCTGCAGATTTTCTAGAATTATTATTGAAAAGACGACATTTGAAGAATTTAAAGAAATCTGCGAATAAATTCAAAGAAAATTAGAAATTCAATATAATGATAGCATTGATTTATTGACAAATTTCTTTTGAGAAATATGTTCCCAACCATCTATATAGATTACTGTGTGATTTTTACTTTATTTTTCTTCGTCGTTATATAGTAATTTTAAAAAAACCGATTCTGAAAACTTATCCACCCCCAAAGAAGGAGTTTTGAACGTCGAATTTGCGCTCAAGCACAGGATTTACAGATCTTTAAAAAGTTTAATATGTCTCAAATGAATCCGAAAGAAGTTTTCCACAACACTGCATACTCAGTTCAACTACCTTTCATTGCCAGTCACTCCCTTTAGGCAAAAAATCCTTTTAATTACAATTTTCTAAAAGTCAAGACATTCTAAGTTTATAGTGTAAAATTAAGGGTGCTTGGGAAAACAAGGCTAGAATTTTGATTAAACGGAATAAAAAAAGTACTGATGTGCACTGGCCTAGATTTATTTCTTTATTTAATACTTACAGCTGAAGATATGTGTTCCTACCGCGGGGACAATTTGCTAAAAGGAAAAGGGTGAAAAAGAGAAAAAGTGTCAAATATCATTTATTGATTGTTTTCAAGGAAACTAGATTTCTGTTTACACAGCTCACTCAAATAAATCCTTTAATGTTATGAAAAAAAGAAAATCATTCCTAGAAAATTAAGTTTGAAAAAAGGAAAAATGTATGTTTTAGAAAAAAATATTCACTTCTTTATCAAAGGTTACAGAATATTTTGAATGTTGAATAATAATGTAGTCACAGCTGCCAGCCTCTGGGCTGTCATAATCTTTCTGCACATAGTTCTTTGTTATGGACAACATTTCTTAAAAATAGGAATTGAGCCCCACAAAGTCAAATTTTCTAATCCCTATAGATCTTTGAAACCTGATGGTGTAAATCTTTGATATTTCAAACCTAGATTATTTGATTTAACAGAGTTCGTAGTTTTTAATATATCTAGTCTATATATAAAGTCTATATATAAGATATAGGGATTAAAAAACGGAGTTTGAAGCAAAGATTCAACATCTTTCAATTTGCCATATTAGAGACCAAGTTCAATTATAAAGAATATCAATAGACGACAAGTAAAATTTGCATTGGAGAGAGACCCAATTGACCATGTCTAAGAATGATGACAACGGTCCCCAAGAGACTGGCAGCAGTGATTACGAAGAGAAAAGAGAAATTATTTATAATTTTCAAAAAAGTTAAAAAGGATACCGTTAGGAATCGAACATGCCATTCATGAAATCTAGCAAAGAATGTTCAGAAAATCAGGATTATTTTTCCTTCTCAATTTACTTTCTGCAAAGAATTAATTAGAAGATCAGAAATATGAGAAGAAGCAAGTGGAAATATTATATAATTTGCAAGAGCACTTTTTATATTTAATATGAACATGAAGTGAGTACTAGAACACAGCAGAATTATATTTAATATGAACATGAAGTGAGTACTAGAACACAGCAGAATTATATTTTTTTCTCATAAAATGTTGCAGCTTCATGGAATAAGCACTTTGTAACTGAAGTATGTCTAAAATTGTGCCTAAAACCTTTTAGAAAAAAATATAAAAACATCCGTTGCAACAAATTCAAATTACGAAATACTGCAATACATAATTTAAATGAAAGAAAAAACGTAGACGACGTTCCTACAAAGATTTTCTGGTTCCCAATATACATTTACACTGGATTAAGATTTTCAGCACTTTTTGTTGTTAATAAAGGTTGATGTATTAATTTTTTTAATTTTCGAAAGGGTCTTGTAAGTCATTTATTTGTGATCCGATGCTTCCGTTTAGAGTAATACTTCAATGTTCAATGTGTACAGCCACGATCTATTCCGTGTTTTATACATAAACAAAAAAAAATTAAAAATTAAAAAGAATTGTTCCAACCACCAAGTATTTTCTTCTAAAAGAAAAATGTGAATGTAAGGTCTTATATAAATATGGAGTCCCTACACAGTGCAGAGTGATGTATTATGAAGTATGTTGATATTCTTGCATATCAATTTCCATTAAACATTAGAGATTAAGTGCAAATTGAATTAAGCTGCAGAAATCAGCGTCGCTTCGAGCAACTTCGGAATTTTGATTTTATCAATCCAGAGTTTACATAAATTCAGACTGCTTATAGAAAGTCTCATCAATTTTTAAGACAGGGTCGACTTTGAAGTGTCACAACGCCTTGTACTTTGATTTTAACGCTCAAACTCGTTTATGCTTTTCTATAGCCCTTTACATGTACAGTTAAGCAATACAAAACACTTGTTGTTAGCTTTGGTTTTTAAGAAGTAATTGGCAAAATTCTCATAAATTTTTGTTTGAGTGGGGGAGACCTTTAAATCAAAGTGACCTGCTCAAGAGACCTTGAAATACAGATCAAAACTGTTACCTCCATATTCGGAAATTAAATCTTAAACAAATTTATTGACCAATTATTCATGATCTGCAAACATGTAAAACCAATAAGTTTCTAGCAATTGTTTCTGAAAGAAGAATTTTTGTAACCGGACTCCACGAATTCATTGACTATGATGCCCATCAGCCGGTAAAATAAAGACAGACGAGTCCAGATGGCCCCGAACCAAGATATCTATCTAGAATCTAGAGCACGGATACTTGGGAACCAAGATATGTATATCTAGAATCTAGAGCACGGATACTGCGGATCCAAGATATCTATAATTATAATCTAGAGCACGGATACTAGGGAACCAAGATATCTATATTTAGAATCAAGAGCACGGATACTAGGGAACCAAGATATCTATATTTAGAATCTAGAGCACGGATGGAACCAAGATATCTAAAATTAGAATCTAGAGCTCGGATACTAGGGAACCAAGATATCTATATTTAGAATCTAGAGCACGAATACTAGGGATCCAAGATATCCATATTTAGAATCTAGAGCACGGATACTAGGGAACCAAGATATTCATATTTAGAATCTAGAGCACGGATACTAGGGAACCAAGATATCTATATTTAGAATCTAGAGCACGGATACTAGGGAACCAAGATATCTATATTTAGAATCTAGAGCACGGATACTAGGGATCCAAGATATCCATATTTCGAATCTAGAGCTCGGATACTAGGGAACCAAGATATCCATATTTAGAATCTAGAGCACGGATACTAGGAAACCAAGATATCTATATTTAGAATCAAGAGCACGGATAATAGGGAACCAAGATATCTATATTTAGAATCTAGAGCATGGATACTTGGGAACCAAGATATATATATCTAGAATCTAGAGTACGGATACTAGGGAACCAAGACATCTATATTTAAAATCTAAAGCACGTATAATAGGGAACCAAGATATCTATATTTAGAATCTAGAGCACGGATACTATGAAACCAAGATATCTATATTTAGAATCTAGAGCACGGATACTAGGGAACCAAGATATCTATATTTAGAATCTAGAGCACGGATACTTGGGAACCAAGATATCTATATGCGGGAAGGAAGTGCTGTAGAACTTGAATGTGGAATTGAGAATATACCTGCTCCTCCAGCCTATATATACTGGTATAAGGTAGGAACACAACTTATATATATTTAAAGTTTCTATTTACAGGGTTAGACTGAGAAAGACTTTAATGAATTGAAAGGAACTGATTATCTTTCCCCATATCTTTCAAACCCAATGTCGTAGACCTTGATATTTCAAACTGTGAATTCAGTTTTAAATTATACAGGTTTACAGCCTCAGGTTGCAAAAATATTGGGTTTAGAAAATTTAAGTTTGTGGCAAAGACTCAATTCCTTGGGTCTTTCTGGATAACCCTTTACAAATTTGTTTTCAAAACTATAGATCTCTACCACATCTCTTATGTACAAAATTATACGTCTCTACCACATCTCTTATGTACAAAATTATACATCTCTTCCCCAGCTTATGTACAAAATTATACATCTCTACCACATCTCTTATGTACAAAATTATACATCTCTTTCCCAGCTTATGTACAAAACTAAACATCTCTACCACATCTCTTATGTACAAAATTATACATCTCTACCACATCTCTTATCTACAAAATTATATATTTCTTCCCCATCTCTTATGTACAAAGTTATACATCCCTTCCCCAGCTTATGTACAAAATTATACATATCTACCACATCTCTTATGTACAAAATTATGCATCTCTACCACATCTCTTATGTAAAAAACTATACATCTCTACCCAATCTCTTATGTACAAAACTAAATATCTCTACAACATCTCTTATGTACAAAATCATACGTCTCTACCACATCTCTTATGTACAAAGTTATACATCCCTTCCCCAGCTTATGTACAAAATTATACATCTCTACCACATCTCTTATGTACAAAATTATGCATCTCTACCACATCTCTAATGTAAAAAAATATACATCTCTTCCCAATCTCTTATGTACAAAACTAAATATCTCTGCAACAGCTCTTATGTACAAAATTATACGTCTCTACCACATCTCTTATGTACAAAATTATACATCTCTTTCCCATCTCTTATGTACACAATTATATTTCTCTACCCCATCTCTTATGTACAAAATTATACATCCCTTCCCCAGCTTATGTACAAAACTATACATCTCTACCCCATCTCTTATGTACAAAACTATACATCTCTACCACATCTCTTATGTACAAAACTATACATCTCTACCACATCTCTTATGTACAAAATTATATTTCTCTTACCCATCTCTTATGTACAAAATTATATTTCTCTAATACGATCTTATGTACTAAATGATACATTTTTGCCACCTAGCTTATGTATAAAGTAATACAAATACAAGTATAACATATCCCACATATATGCCTATGTAAAAACAATACAAATCATTCATATTTCATATATAACATAAAAAGTAATACAACTACCACATAGCATGTAATGCTATTTCATATTTCTTTTGTATTTCTAAAAATATTCAGTTAAATGTTTGAAAAAAATCATCAAAGGAATAATAATTTCTGCATACATATTCAATATGAATTTGAATGGAACATGTTTATAAACTTTTAAATTTTCTTCTGCCCCCCCCCCNTATATATAATCTCTCTATTCTAGGAGAACTCTGTAATCAGCTACTCTACTCCTCTATGTAGTGTGTAATCTATATATATAATCTCTATTCTAGAAGTACTCTGTAATAAGCTACTCTACTCCTCTATGTAGTGTGTAATCTATAAATAATCTCTATTTAAGGAGAACTCTGTAATCAGCTACTCTACTCCTCTATGTAGTGTGTATTCTATATATATAATCTCTCTATTCTAGGAGAACTCTGTAATCAGCTACTCTGCGACCCAGGGTATAGTTCTAAGCTTACAAAACTCCAACAATACACTCATCTCAAAACTAACCATAAAGGTAACAATTATATCCTTATTTACACTTCACAGACACTATACTAACTAAAGTCATGCCAGGGGAGTTTAAAATACTGGAATAAAATTCGAATTTTGAAGAAAAAAATTTTTAAGTTTTTTAAAAGCCGGATTTGTTACCCCCAAGGTATCCATGGGTGTTCTAAAAATCATCCAATTTGGTTCAGTTGTTTGGCCAACAATATCCAACATATACATAGATATACATATATATACTAGTATTTTCAACTTTTTCAGTTTAAATATACATTTTAGATGTTTAAATACTATATATATATATTAGCAAAGAGCTTTTTTTTATATAGATAGACAGCGCTTTTACTAAACAGACTAGAAACTAATCAAAAATAGACAAAATATAGATGACCAACGAGTAAGCAGACACCTGAAAAACTGATTAATGATTATGCTGCATGATAACTAGTGTCCAGGTTAAAAGTCAGGAGGTCTGAACATTGGAACCTATTATATTGTCACGCGCTAAATGAACATTTTCCATATTTGATAATTCATAACTTTTTGTTGTGCTATGTATTTTGAATATTTAAGTAAAGGTCGATTTTGACGGATTTTGTGTGAGAGATTAAGTTTTTCGTCTGTGCTTTTACACTATTTTGCTGCACTTTTTAGCAAAGAGTTGTGTTCGCTCCAAAACAGTGACAGAAACTGTATAAATTATTTACCCTGGTGCAAAGTCCAACTTATATAAGACGTCTACAGGGTGAATAAAAAAGTCGGTTTAGTGTCGTCTCCTTCAAAACAATTTTTTGCATGAAATTCTCATATATTACTTTATTATTTGATAAAGAATTTTTTAAATTTGTTTGTAACACAAATGGTCCAAAAAAACATCAAAAACTTTTTTTAACAAAATTAAAAGAATAAACTAATATTTTGGATTTTCAAATAAAACTTTTGCGCCTCTCGGTTCTCACATGTTTCATTAATTCCATATACAGGGAATTAATTCCATATACATGGGAATTCAGTGACGAATTCGATATCGTCTTTGTTATGAATTAACATTGTAATACCTAATTTCAAAAGCCATAATATTATTATGTCTGCTAGAGTTTATTTTATGAAAAGGGTAAAAGACTTTAAATATGTGTCTATAACGTCTCCGCAAGATGAACAGTGAAGACGGACAAGTTTACTCTGTTTGTATACTGCAATTTTCTTGTTTCACTAAGTACAACCGTATGCAGTCAAAACATAAACAAACAAAATGTGAACATAGCAGACGAAACTCTTACAGATTACAGCTTTCTCAGTAGGTATCACTTTACTAAATCAAAGAATTATTTAAAACGACGATATCGAATTCGTCACTGAATTCCCATGTTTATTGGGACACCCTGTATGATACTAAATAATACAATGAAAATGAACACTGTAGTTGTTCCATGTAAATATATTTGCTTTATAACAACATCAAAACCACATAACATTATTGTAATGTCGTCTTCCTAATTACACAGATTTATTGGTCTCGCTGTAGATTGCAGGAGAAAAAAAAATGTAAAATTTAGGTAGATTTAAACTGTAGTGTACTGTATAGGGTATATTTACATATTTTAAACAGGGGTATAACAGGCTTGAGGCTTCTAATTCAAATTCAAATTTAATATTCATAAAGTGACGGTTCACAATGATTTCCCCTGGGATCAACTTTCAAACTATATTATTTAATAGAATACAATTCAGGTTGAACACGGTAATTAGTGGATCTTTTTAATCTGAAGTCGGAACTGTTAATCCTTTCAGACGGATTAAGTATAAAATCCTTTGAATATATCTTGAAAAGTTTACAATCAGAGGCCACAACAAATCTGCAATCGCAAAAATCAAGTCTAACGTTCAGATTAAAAGTTTGTACTGTAGATATCAAGAGTTAAGGTGTTGTATTCAAAAGGTCCGATATCACTGATCAAAAAGGGCTTTTTTTGTTCCCTCATAATTTTGATAAAATGTTTTAATTTCATAAACTTTATTAAGGATCAGGTTAAAAAAAAAAACAAAAAAGAAATAGAGACTTTCTGGGTTTTAGCTTTCAGCCTAATTTCGAAAAATGAATCAATGAAATTTAAAAGTAAATATTATACGAAACCTATCTTGAAATATTTTATTTTCAATTTTAGAAATTGAATCCGAAATATTCAATATCAATTCATCTTTCGCTACAGTATTTTGGCATTGAATATCCGGAGTGGAATTTCCACATCTAACAATAAATAGTCTGATGTAAATAAATGTCTCGAATGAATCAATCTATTTGGAAAATATTTGCTATAATTCTCATTATTTTGTTCAGTTAATGTAAATTGCTGAGTCTAGTCTCTCTCTCTCTCTTTCTCTGTCTATATTCATCATTTATATTTGTCTACAGAAAAATTACATTAAACAATATAAAAGTTTACAATTTAATACTAATACGCTTTTCTCTGGATATCGCATTTTATGATTGACAGGGTTTGCCAAAAAAAACAGGTGCAATACAAGACTTTTAGCATGAGTATAGTTTAGTTATTCAGATGTGGTTTTCAGAAATGGAGTTTCTTGGTCCCAATCAGTGTCTTTCGTCTTCTAAAACTGTGGCATATGATGACAGCACTGCCAGGCTTGATATATTTTTGTACATTGCTTTGAAACTAACACTGGGTTTGCTTGCGTCATAGTTGTTTTGTACAGGGTGGATATATTTATCATATTGTTGTCTATATATATATATATATATATATATAGATAAATAATATATGTATGTTTTTTTGGTTTGTTTGTTTGTATACAAAGTTAAATGACATACAATGATCATTTTAACATTTTGAAAATCCACCAGAAAAAACTATAAAATGCGTAAAATTTTCTGATGTTCGAAGAACGTAATGGCGACATCGAAAGCTAAAGTATTTTGATAAAAGAATAATTTAGTTTTGTATATTTTCTCAGAGAAAAATAAAAGTTTTCCTTTTTGTTCATAGTTGGCCAAGATTTTCACTAATTATGCACATTCATGCTAATTAAAAACATGTGTCCCTTTTAACGGTTTAACCCTAAACAGGCTGGGGGGGGAGTTTGGCGCCCCCCTCCTGTAGTTTTTTTTTGTCTCATTTTTGACACTATCACCGTGAAATGTTGTGACTTTTAATGAATAGTAATTTAAAGGATTTTGTGTTAAAAAAATATTTTTTTAATTTATAGGGTAGGTTACAGAACGAAAAAAAGTCCGGTCTGTGAGAAAAAAAAATCTTTTTTTTTTACCATTTTTTGGACATTTTTTTTCCATTTATTGGACATTTTTTTTCCACCCACCCTAGCACCCAAACTATTAAAGTTATCGGTCTATTTTTTTTCTTCGAGCTGGCCATAAAAAATTGGGCTATTAATTTCAACCTATTCTCTAAGGCCTTTTTCTGGGGTGGCGCCAAACGCCCCCCCCCCACCCCCGGCTATACATATATTCAGACCGCCCAGCCTTTTTATGGTTAAATATGGGGAAACATTTGTCTAAAATATAGAAACATTTGTTTATCTAATAATTCATAGTCTTTGATTCTATTTTTTATCAACACATATAAAATGAACATTTTTCTTTATATTTTGATCGAATCCAATGTTTTAAGAATTAATTTGAAAAGGAAGTTTAGAAGGAGGAAGAAAGAAGTAACAAAAGAATAGAAAAAATTGCTGATAAAATAAAAAAAGGAAAAAAATGCAGAGTTAAACGGAAGGTGTAATAAAATAAACTGAAGGTATGAGGAAAGTAAACTAAACGCAAAGTTTAAAACCTGATAAAAATGTATTTCAAATATATTTATTTCTATACAAAAATGTTCAAAAAGTTTATAAAAATTATTTTTTTTCATTATATGCAATTAAAAACTCTGATACTTCTGATACTCTGATATTTCAAACTATGAATTTTGTTAGATCAAATAATCTTGGTTTGAAATATTCAAATTTTACACCATCAAGTTGCATAGATATAGGAGTTTAAAAATTTGAGTTTTTGACAAACATTCATTTCTTTTGCATCATTTAGTTGATCCTTTAGAAATAATCAAATTTATAGAAAACAGATTTAATAATATTGCAATGTATAACACTCGGTTGGTAACAGCTTGGATATAGATGAGAAAACAAAGATTTGGGAAATAAAGGTTTTAATAGAGGGTATATTCATCCATACTGTATGCAGGATATATTCATCCATACTGTATACAGGGTAAATTCATCCATACTGTATACAGGTATATTTATTCATACTATATACAGGGTATATTTATTCATACTGTATACACTGTTTAATTCATTCATACTTTATATACTGTATATTCATCCATACTGTATACAGGATATATTCATCCATACTGTATACAGGGTATATTCATCCATACTGTATACAGGGTAAATTCATCCATACTGTATACAGTGTATATTCATCCATACTTTATACAGGATATATCCATCCATACTATATACAGGATATATTCATACATACTGTATACAGAGGTTATATTCATCCATACTGTATACAGGGTATATTCATCCATACTGTATACAGGGTATATTCATCCATACTGTATACAGGATATATTCATCTTGACTGTATACAGGGTATATTCATCCATACTGTATAGAGGGTATATTCATCCATACTGTATAGAAGGTATATTCATCAATATTGTATACAGGGTATATTCATCCATACTGTATATAGGATATATTCATCCATACTGTATACAGGTTATATTCATCCATCCTGTATAGAGGGTATATTCATCCATACTGTATAGAAGGTATATTCATCCATATTGTATACAGGGTATATTCATCCATACTGTATACAGGGTATATTCATCCATACTGTATACAGGGTATATTCATCCATACTTATACAGGGTATATTTATTCATACTATATACAGGGTATATTTATTCATACTGTATACACTGTTTAATTCATTCATACTTTATATACTGTATAATTCATCCATACTGTATACAGGGTATTTTCATCCATACTGTATACACTGTATAATTCATCCATACTGTATACAGAGTTATCATCTATACTGTATACACTGTATAATTCATCCATTTTGTATACAGAGTTATCATCCATACTGTATACAGGGTATATTATCCATACTGTATACACTGTATAATTCATCTATACTGTATACAGGGTATGTTATCCATACTGTATACACTGTATAATTCATCTATACAGTATACAGGGTATATTATGCATACTGTTTACAGTATCTAAGAAAGCTCCTGTAATATGTCTCTGGCATTGTCCTGAAGAATGCAGAGATTAAAAGATATCTATTTACAAGAACTCTGACAAGAAATCTGACAAGACCATAAAATCTTGATTTTAAAAAGAAACGGACATTTTTTCACATACAGGCTGTGGAATTAAAAAGATAAATTATAATCAACTTACAAAAAACTTATAAAAAATTATAAGATTTAACATGTGCAGACTTACGTTTTAATATAATGTAACAGGTGGGGGCTCAATAGCTCGGATTGGAAGTAGTCCGGCCTATAAACAGGACACATATTAGCTCTTTTTTATATAGCAATAGGTCGGACAGAAAGTGGGGTGGATGAACGTGGAGAAATATTTGCCGTTAGAAAATGCCAACCCAGAAAACATGCTTTGAACACATGTTTGAACGCGTTGAAACCGAAGCCATCAAGGTCCTGGTTTAAATTCAAGCCAATAGGCATGAACCACAGCTTAAAAGGAGAATATAGGATCAGCCGGGGGTAAAACCGAAATAAGTCAATATTCACGATCGAAGAGTCTGAAGGCGGAAGATTAACACGTCGTACGAGGCAAATCAAAGTTGGAGAATATTTCAGAGAGATCCGGCTTTCCATGATTCATTAGTATCATTTTATTTGTTCATTTTTCACTTGTAAATCCTTTTAATTCTATACTCATGTAGATTTACTCACATTAGTTTTAAGGCTTTATATTTCCTTTATTTCATACCACCTTTTTATGATAAATCCATCATTTATATCCTTACAGAACCAACTTTAATTAAGGAATCAAGCATTGATCCTTTATCTTAAAGTTCCTAGATTGTATATCGAGATCAAGCGTTCTAAAATAACAATATCAACACAAAAATTCCAATATAAAAATTGAAATATTTCAATATCCTGAAACAAATTGATATTAATTAATGATATTAAATTTATATCGGGGAACTTTTCTGATAGTCTCCCGCGGTGTGAGCTAGGACATTTTTTTAGTTTTAAATATCAAAGGCATCAGGCTGCAAAGATATATGATAAGACAATATTTCTCCATTTTTGAAATAATATGTCGTATTTTGCGTGAATTTTTGGCATAAAACTGAATTTTACAACAAATAAGACATGTTTGTGAATTTAAAAAATATCTCAGAAAAACTCTGATGATGACTTAAGTTTGTAAAGGTCCGATATGTTTATCTGAAAACTACGTGATTCCTTTGTGTTTTCCATGTTGTTGGAAACTTTGCTAAGAAAAAGATAATTCCTGTGTAGACGAGGAATCCTGCGGGTACTGATAAGAATTAGTGTTGGTTCAAGATGCATCAACTTAATTTAAATTTAATTCATTTAGAAGTAAATTATGAACAGTGGGAAACTTTTCGGTTCTATTAATAAACTCAACAAGTTCTGTGATCACGTTAAACTATGTAAATAGTTCTGTGATCACGTTAAACTATGTAAATAATTCTGTAATCACGTTAAACTAAGTAAATTTCACGTCACATTTAAATTCTTAAATGTTTGAAATAATTAAGAGCTATTGAAAAGAACTAAAGAAAATGTAACCAAAGATAAATGAATTTTTCATAAAAAATAGTGGAGTGACGAGGCTATAAAGTTGCACCGTAGATATCGTATAGATTTGTCTAGTTTGCAGTGTTTTTAATTTCTTTTACAATCTTTGTAATCTGATCTCGTTACTTTGACAAATTCCTAAAAACCAAACTCCTGAAAGACAAACTCCGAGGTATCTATCTATCTATCTAATCTACCTATTTATCTATCTATTTATCTATCTATCTGTCTATCTATCTATCTATCTATCTATCTGTCTGTCTATCTATCTAACTATCTAATTTATATACAACATACATCTATGTATATTGTACATATACACGGTATATGTATATATAAAATAAACTCGAACTGTTTTCTAAAGAAAGGTCTATCAATAAAGAACTAAAACAATCCAATTGGATTTTACTATTTTAGAAAATAGAATAAAGGCGAATGTTTTGCAATAAACCGGACTATACACTATATACACTATATATACACTATATACACTATATATTTTATATACACTATATATACACTATATATACACTATATACACTATATATAGAAGTACAATTTGTAACCAGGGTGCGGAAACGTGTTGTATGTGTGTCTGTGCCAAAATGGTGTGTGTAAGTAATAACGAACCGAAGGCGTGTATTGTAGGTTTATAAAGTACATATGAATTTTGGTAGGAGAGTACATTTGATTATTGTTAATTGTTTAATTAAAAATAAGTTTAATATTCATGTAATATATTATATGTATTTAAGTCAACACTATAAGCCAAATTGTCATGCAAAGAATATAATTTGATTAAAGTGTACAATAAACTACTCGTTATTCAAGCTAAATTATAATTACAATTATAATCATAACATTTTTCTGCAAATTCATTGACTGTATTCATGTTGTGTGCCTGTGCCAAAAGAGTGTGCGTGTGTTACAACGAACTTGTCTGCAAAGGGTGCTACTGGCTTTCTCATGCCAGACCAGCGCTATTTCCCTTCCCTTTATTCCTATTCCCTGTTTGTAACATGCAACTGTTGAGACCGGGAAAATTTTAAAGTGCCGTAAAACTACACAGGGGTCTCCCATTACATGGAGTTTAGAAGCAGATCAAGAAAAGAGAACTGGTTGAACCATGTCTGTGAGGTTCAACCATGGCTCACTGTTCTTTAAATCTGGGGCCAGGTTGCAAAGATTTGGAACGAGAAAATTAAAGTTTGGGCAAAGAAATTGAGTTATGCCACAAGCTTTTATTGTACAATCCCTATATCTTTAGAACCCGACGTGTTAGACCTTTGATATTCCAAACAATGAATTCTGTTAATCAACTAATCTAAGTTTGAAATATCATCAGGTTGCAACGACATAGGAATTGGAAATTTTGAGTTTCTTTAGGCCATAATAATATGAAAATGTTAGTTTGGCCTTTAATTAACTTATTTGAATTGAATTTATCTAAATTTATTATTTTCTAATTACAAGATGTCTTAGTTAGCACTGTGTACCGTCTATTAATATTCTGCTGAATTCAGTATTAACCATAAAACTGATCAAAGGATTACTTTTAAACTCAAATTATGATTTTAAATTTAGTTATATAGACATGAAAAACAGCAATGTGCAATGTACACAGACCAATTTGGCGTAATGAGTTGATTTGCACGCTTACAAAAATGCAAAAGTGAAGTCGATCCTATTCCAGGGTTTTATTAGTTCAGTCAATCCTGATCAAGTTTTAGATGAAAAGATTTTAAATTTTTTTGATAAATGGCATTTTCAACTTCATTAATCGTTCTTGAGTTTTGACATTTTACATGATTAATATCAAACCTTAGAACCAACAGTTAGAGACAGAGAGGGTCTCCTCTCACAAATAAAAACGAATTTTTCAAATCTTGACATTCGATATCACACTTTAAAAAGATTTAATTAGAATAAAAAACTATATTTCCAAATGTGGTCTCACCCGTACACCGTCTCACATAACAAAGTCAAGCTTAATCATAATCTTTAATCAAAAATTCTGATCTTATGAATCATATTTTCGACTACAGATATTTTCTAGTTTTAGTTGAATAAGAGCAATTAATTAGCAAAATGCAGAAAGATCTTTTCGAATGATTGTTTATATGTTGGATCGCTGTGTAAGGAGAACCAACAGTAGAAACTAATAAGTTCTCTGATACGAATATCAACTATTTGAAAAGTTGACATTTTATCACAAAAAAAAATATATAATTGGATGCAGACAACTTTATGGTATTTTCCTAAAAAATAAATCCATGAATATATAACACAAATACACACGAAACATGATCATTTCAACTAGAGCAAGTGACTTAATTTCCCAATTGTCAAATTTTCCAAGCCACAGACTGAAATGGGGGCCTAGGATGGGCTTGGGGGGGTCGAGCGCTGCGGCTAGAATAGACTAGTGAGCCGAGCGCTGCGGAAACGACTGACATGGTCCGCTTGGGAAATTCCACAGTTGGGAAGTTTCCACTTGGGAAAATACACTCGGGAAGTTGCCATGCTTTGGGAAAAGCCTTTGGGAAAGTACCTAACAACAAATAGACTATATAGCAAATATAAAGGGACAGTGCACTAAATAAGATTAATATCTGTTTAGTCGGCTTCCCCAGCGGACTCTGGTAACTACACGTGTGCACCGGCCAATGCACTTACAGACTCTGTATTCCTAAATGTTGTGAAAGGTAAGTGTTCATTTCCATTAAAGGGACTGTAGACGTAATTTCATGTGACCCTCCATATAAAGAGTGATGTCCACACTTTTAACTTTTTTTGCGAATTCATGGAAGTGAGACAATGTAGGAAATTGGCAGGATTTAATACGTTTGAAGAGAGAAAAACGACGTTATTTTTTATTGTTAAAGGGAGCATAAAGGTAAAATGAAAGGGGGTGTAGGCTGAAACAGATCTAGACCTGTTAGACATCTATCGGATGTTCCTGTCTCGAGAAATTGACATACAACTGTGTCAAAATCATACCAAAACGCATATATGTAAGATATACGTCCGTATGACGTGCCCAGAACTCCCTCCAATAGCAATGCAGTATACTGGTCACGTGATACAGACGGAGACATTTGACAATAATACTGCACTGCCATTGGTTGGAGTTCTGGTCCAATGATCCGGACGTGTAAATAATATTATCAAATATATCTATTAAAAATGAAAAATTATTAAATTCAAATAATAATAGGAGCAAACCTGAGTTTCTCAGGCTCCTCCGGGATATTGTCGTTTTCAGATAGGTTACATATTTGTTGAATATGATCTGTCAAATACTACGAATCTTATACAAAATCTTACATGTATACGTTTTGGTATGATTTTGACACAGTTTTATATCAATTTCTCGAGACAGGAACATCAGATAGAACTCTTATTATAGGTACCAATCAACTCCTGAGATTCTCAGGTTTCAGCCTTAACCCCCTTTCCTTTTTCCTTTACATTTCCTTTAATCGGATAAGACTAAAGGGCACCCTTGTAAATCATACATGCAACTCTTAAAAAGTAGAAATTAGGTCTATACAGCTCCTTATCAATCATTTATAATCGTATTTTCTGATCCCTATATCTGTGCAATATAATAATGTAATTTATACAACATTAGGTAAAAGAATTAGAAAACTAGAGTTTGAGGCGCGTAATCCTTTGGAAAATTTTGAAAATACTTGGGCTAAAATTAATAGTTATTAAACATAGTTGAGCTGCATGGACTAAGTTAAACAACTTCTCTTTTGCACCGAGTAATATTAAACAGAAGTGGTTTAACTTGATCTACGCGGTTCAACTATGTCTCAATACTTCATAAAATGTGGTCCTTAAACAAGCTTTTGATAAATAATTTTTCAAATTTCTTTTTTATATATATTTATTTGAAGATCACGTTTTCCAGGTCTACGTATGTTTATCTTTTTTAGGAAAAACCAGTTTTTAAAAAAATCCATTTAAAATAAGATTGAAGAAAGCGCAAAAATTGTGTTTTCACCAAAACATGTTTATTTTTAAAAATGTCAATATGTGTTATTGTCCAAAAATGTCAATAGTTTTTTGTCGCAGACAAGAAAATCTAAAAGATGAATTGAAAGCAAAACTATTTCTGAACTTTATGTCTCGACTTTAAAGGGACTGTAAACTAAAGTTCAAGTAATGTCGCATGCCCCATTCACAACGCGACACCTTTGTCTAAGCAACACCAATGAATTTTTTATCATAAAACTTAATAATTCTGATCATTTCCTCCGTTGTCTCTTCTGCATAAATCATCAAGTTACTTATACAGAAAAAAAAACACAATTTAAAACTATTAATTTCTTAGATTACTAATATTACTAATAGTAAAACTTGCTTTAAAATAAAGCTCATATATAATTATAAAAAGTGCTTTTTCGTAACAAAATCTCTTGTAATTATAACATGTAAATCTTGTAAAATTCAATAATAACCTTACGAAAATAAAAATATTTCGTTTTAAAAATTTCTTAGATTAGAAAAACAAGAATATCTTTATAAATTTTGTTTTGACATAGGTCNCAATAAAAAAGATTATTATAAAATATTTCATAAAAAAGTTTGTATAAATTACAAAAGTCTATAAAATTAGTATTTTGTCAAAAATAATAAGTCCAGCAAATTGAGTCAGCACATTTGATTTGATTCTGTTGCGTAATTTTGCAGAGGCAACAGAAAATTTATTTTAATTTAATTGTATGACAAATGTACATTCTTATCAATAAATTAGCTGAAGTGCCCGGCGTTGTCCGCGGAAATTTTTAAAATCGAATTTTAAAATTTGATTTTTAAAGGAAAAAAAATACCCTATGTTATCCCTGGGATGCTCAGGGGTTCCTCTAAAAATACATTTTACTTTTGTATACTGAAAACGTTCTTATTACAGTTGCAAAAAGGAACTGAGTTTTTTGCCACAAAATCTGAGTTTCTTACCGATATATCCTTGCAATCTGATCACACTGGTGACACGTCTGCTGCTAACTGTAAATTGAAAATTAAAATTAAACTGAAAATTTGAGCTTGTGGCAAAAACTCAGTTCCTTTGTTCGCAGATTGTGAAATTCCAAAAACTGACAGAAAAATAGCTGTTAAAAATTATCAGAATTAATGAGACACCCTGTATTATACATTTTATATATATTGTAGTATGTTCTCCTATCTAAACTCTTTAATACCATTTAAACTGCCTCTAACTCTTTATAGACCTGAAACACAAAGATACAAAATATATAAAACTTTAAGCTTCCATTTTTCCCAAAACATTTCCCGCTTTCAACAAAATCAATCGAAACTGCACCTTTTACACTCTCACCTATTAAAATAAATAGCTTTAATAACACTGACAACTAAACATTCTGAACTAGAAAGTAGGAGAAGGTCAGTAAGATTTATTACGGATTTGTTACCTCGTAGCTCCTCTAGTTTTGATTATACATTAAGCATTAAGCAAATGGAAATGTATACGGCCGGTGACATATTGGATGTTCGAAACATTTGTGTTCTTCAAAATAGTCCTGTACGTCTACAGTCTACTGCAGTCTACAATGATTAGTTTTTCACCAAAAAAATTGTTTCGCAGATTTATTTTTCTACGTAGCAAAAAATAATATTGAATTTGGGTTTCTTTATTCAATATTTTTCCACCTGAAAATATTTTTTATAGTTTTTTTTAAAACGTTAATCCCGTTTTAACTCTGCAATCTGTATATTTTGCGCCAATCCCGTTTTTTACTCACTCTGTATATCTTGACAAGACAGAAAAATAATTTTTATCTAAGTTTTATTGCCTTTATACTAATTGTTCTTTGAATATCGATAATCTATATTTTTGTCCGACATTTTTTATAAATCAAATTAATTCATTCCCAAAATACATTATTTTTTTACTGACCCCGAATAATTGATTCGATATGATAAAATTAAAAATTTTCCTGAAAATCAAAGACTTATTTTTAAGTTCTTTTGTAGTTGAAATTATGCCCATTCTCTTAATTACATAGTGAAAATAGTAACGCATTTAATAGTAAAAATGTTTGTGTTAAAATATTTAATATCTAGCAATATATAGATTTTTCTTTCTCATGCCAGTCAGTGCAAAATGCCGATATTACAATAAAGAAGTATAAATAATGTTTTGAATTTATGCAAAACCTTTTTGCAAGATGAATTTTGCAATACTTTTCGCGTGTCGTAGCTATATTTAAAGGGATCAAAAACAAACGTGTTAAAACGGACTCAAAGAAGTTCGTAGTAAGATTTCGATTCTACTGGAGACCTACGGAGGGATTTTATTTTCACTGGAGGGGTTTGAAAAAATGCTTTTTACGACTTAAAACTTTACACAGGGTGATTTACATTCCACTGGAGGGATTCAGATATCTTTCCAGGGGGGTTATAATTCCACTGGAGGGATTCAGTTATCCTAACTAAGGGTTTATAATTCCACTGGAGGGATTCAGATATCCTTCCTGAGGGTTTATAATTCCACTGGAGGGATTCAGATGTCCTTCCTGGGGGGTTATAATTCCATTGGAAGGATTCAGTTATCCTTCCTGAGGGTTTATAATTCCACTGGAGGGATTCAGATGTCCTTCCTGCGGGGTTATAATTCCACTGGAGGGATTCAGTTATCCTTCCTGGGGGTTTATAATTCAACTGGAGGGATTCAGAAATCCTTCCAGGGATTTATAAATCCACTGGAGGGATTCAGAAATCCTTCCAGGGGGTTTATAATTCCACTGGAGGAATTCAGATATCCTTTCAATGGGTTTATAAATCTACTGGAGGGATTCAGATATCCTTCCTGGGGGTTTATAATTCCATTGGAGGGATTTAGACATTTTTCCAGGAGTTTATAATTCCACTGGAGGGACTTAGACATCCTTCCTAGGGGTTTATAATTATAATTTCTTACAGAAAAAACTATTTAAACCAAATAAACGACTCGTTTTGTAGAATCAAATTTAAGAGATTAAAATATTTTATAATTAAACAGGCCTAGATGTCTCGCATTAAGAACTTCATAGACCGGGTGTCCAAGAGAAATCAAAAGACGACTTTTTAATGAGCATTGACTTAAAATAGTAAAAAATGAAGAAAAAACGTAGAATAAAAAGGTTCTAGTTTGTTGAGTTCTTTTATATATTACATATCAAACTCGGATTTTCTGATCCCTACATCTTACTAACCCAATGTTTAATATTTTAAACTATGGAGTTTGGATAAATTATTAAAATTTGAAATATCAAAGCTTTACACCATCATAAATTAGTTCCTTTCCGAAAATATTCACAATTTGCACGTATAAAGTAGTCATCTCTGTAAGGGTGTTTGTATGTCCGATCATAACTCATGAACCCCATGACTGATTTGCCTCATATTTTGATTGAGGAACTCGATAGAACGAAGGAAATTTTCTTAGCAATTACAGGGAATGTTTTGTTTCCATGCAAATCTGGGTTTCCAAGCTAACTATAACTAGGTTTAGCTCAAGCATCCAGTAGATGAAACATGATTTTAAAGTTTCCCCAAATATATCTGATCATCCACCCTGTTCTGTCCCTATAATTGTTCTTACCTGGATTTAAACTGACACCACCTGGTGGCGACTCTAAGAACTATAATTAGAATTAATATCGTTAAATTAATTGTAATTTATCTTCCAGGAGAAAAGCAGGAAGGACTCAGAGAGAGCTCAGACTCTTCTAATCTTCAAAGGTAAACAAAAAGAAAATTTTAAATATAAAAAGTATTGAATGTTTTTATTTCAGGTTGGGTCCCGCCATTCTTCTTTTTATATGCTTTGTGCCAAGCCTATGGTAGACTAACGATGTGTATTATAACATCCTGAATAATATAATTTTTTTAAATATATTCTTTTCTGACAGATCACTTAAAAAGCAGATTAGACCTTCCCCCCTCCACCTTCTATTTAATTGTATGAAAGTATTAATATTTGAATGAAAAAATGTTTTAAAAATTTGAATGCTTATTGTTGTACAAAGGAATTGAGTCTTTGCCTCAAACTCTGAATTTCTAATCCCTATACATTTGCAACCGAATGTCGTAGACCTTGATATTTTAAAATATGAGTTCTGTTAGATCAAATAATCTAAGTTGACATATAAAAGGTTTCCACCATCAGGTTGCAAAGATATAGGGGTTAACACATTTGAGTAGTGGCAAAGACTCAATTCCTTTAGAATTATTCGCAAACTTTTTAAAATTTTTTGCGTAATTTGTAAATATGTATGTGTGTAACATTGTTATGTTTGTTATGCTAAAGGGAATGTAGACGAAACTTTATTTTTAGAGCAGTAAATACGATTCACATCGGTACCCTTCAAAAATTGTCGGATCTAGAATAACGGGGATACCCCAATTTTATATTTGTAGGTAACGGTGTTAATCTGACATGGCATTATCTTCACAGTTACGTCGACAGTCCATAAAACATGAAATTTTAGTTTTCTGAATCATCTATGAAAGTAAAAAAGTGAGAAAAAAAAACAATGAAAAAAGCGCAGAACAATTGGCTGAATGTTAAAGAAAACTTGAGTTTTGGAATTGAGTTTTAGCAACAAACTTTAAATTTCGAATTCCAATATCTTAGGGACCTGATGTTGTACACATTTGATATTTCAAACTTAGATTAGTTGAGCTAACATAATTCATAGTTTGAAATATCCAAGGTCTACGACATTTGGTTTGAACAATAAAAGGACTAGAAAATCAGAGTTTTGTTGCAAAGACTCAATTCCTTTGTGAAAACATGTTAAACTGTTTCAAAAGTTAAAAATCTTGTATTATATATTTATGAATGTTTGTGTAAATACTATAAATACCAAATTATATAATAAAAATAAATTTTATTGTTATTTTTCGTCGAAAAACCCATTTGTTTCTGAATTAGTTAATCAGCTGATTACATTAAATTATTAAATTTAGTATGTTTTGGAATACAACTTCCTTAGCATGCTGAAGAGCCAAATGATGATATAAATGTTAAAAACAATATATTTATCCAGCTATATGTAAATCTAGGTTTATAATATTACTTATAGTTAATCCCGCCGTTTACCCGTGCTTGCCAGTAAATCGTGATTTTAGCTAAAATGCCTGGTGTTGCCCGTGGAATTTCGAAAATTAAAAAAAGAAATTGAACCTATGTTACACAAGGGAAGCCCAATGGTTCCCTAAAAAAAGTCAGCCAATATTGCCCGGCTATATAGCTAACATATAGAGCTTTATTATACAGATTAAACCTAGATTTTCCTATGTTTTAGATTATAATTAATACTAAGCATCGGGATGGAACTTACTTTTTTAGGCTTAGATGAACAAATGCTTCTAAGCTGTTAACTAATAAAATAATAGAATTAGTTAAACTGATTCTTTTCCTACAAGAGATCTTATTGGTTCAAACAATATGAATAAGTTCGTGGGGGGGAAGAGGGATCTTGATTTCAGTGCTGAAACGGTTTCTATCCCCCCCACTGATATATCACCGAATGTGACCGAATAAATAGTGTATTTTAGCTGAGAGAGATATAGACAACTCTAAAAGAATTAGTCATATCAAACTTTGAGACAACCACGACTTTAAAGTGTCGCACCGCCTTGGCCTTTGGGGTTTACCTCATCCTGCACATTTTGCTTTGCAATAAACCCTCAAATCCTTTTTTTCATTATTTCTCGATGGATATCTCAATCAAATTTTTCTACCTCAGAGCTAGGACAAACGCGACAAATCTCGCTGATTCGACTTTTTGAACGCAATTCTTAGAACTCTAAAGTTTGAGGATTTTACTGAGAATCTAAAGCCTCAAAATCCATCACATAGTCGGAGCTAAGCTCGTTTTTACAATTTACAATGAATATCTGAAGTTGAAGATTATTCCAAAACTTGTATTGACCCTGTCTTATAAATTAAAGGGACTGTATTCGTAATTTCAAGTGACTCTCCATTTATAGAATATTTGATTCAATTGTGGTTTCTATTCAAAGGTGCGTTTCTGCTGCAGAAACAATGGCGAAAAGTGGCAGAATTCAACACTTTTCAAGCTGGACAGACGACGATATCTTCCTCATTACTGATCAGATTTAGAGAGTAGCGTTGTATCTCTTGAAAAGAAGTGTAACTTGAAACTACAAAAACAGTTTCTTTAGACCACCGAATTTGATTCATCATTTACATATAAACCTTTCTTTAGTCAAATGCCTTGTTTTTTAAAGAAATTTAGTCTTTGATTGTCTAATGCCTATATCTATTCAACCCAATGTTGTAGATTTTAGATATTTTAAACAATATATAAATACTTAGAGTTTACACCATAAGGTTGCAAAGATATATTGATTAGAAGATGTGAGTTTGTGGCAAAGGCACAATTCTTTTTTTCGGTTTAAAGTTTTTCATGTTTTATTTTAAAAAAGCTGATAAAAATGTGTTTCTTCTGAAACTGTCGGATATTGAACATACATAGCTTTCTTTCATCTAAACCAACCCCAAGGTCAAATAGTTGCACTTCATTGACAAACTAGATCAAAAACAAATTCTTCAGAAAAAATTTCGTTTTCAAAAACTTTGTGGAAACGGATTTAATTGAAGACAATTAAGCTGTTTATTCGAATGAAAGGTTTTAACAGTTTTAATAAAGTTTATATTTTAACATTTAAACCATGTTAACTATGTAATGAGCTTGTTCTACTGTTTTAAAATTCTCAGGTGTTATGCGGAACTTTTCCCGTTTATAAAATAAATTAATTTTAAAATATCCTTTAGATCAACCTACATTGCACCTGGAAGTTGGAACAACTGTCGGTTGTATTTGCAAAGGTTCTAATTTATTTTCCTGCAAAATAGAAATTTTAAAAATAAATCTTTATTTGAGAAGATTCTTCTGTTTTAAAGAGACTGTAAGCATAATTTTAAGTGACCCTCCATAGAAAAATGGCAACGCCCGATACACAACGGTACCCATTGAAACCTTAATCTGATCAATAATGAGGAAGATAGCGTCGTTTTCTGACTCGAAAATTATTTACTGTTGTGAATTTTTCCATTGTTTCTTATAATCAAGAAATGCGCATATCACTTTTGCCAAGAGGCTTTTAATGAAAATAAACAATTTAAATAAACTAAAACATGGAATTATAATCCTATATTTGATCAGACAAAGTTTTTAATGGTACCGGTTTTATTTTTAAATTGCCATGCTTGCATGGAGGGTCACTTAAACTTACGTGTACAGTCTCTTTAAGGAAATACGGATTGAATTTGGCATCAGATATATCTTAAACAGATTGATGTTTTTATTTTAAACACAGGATATAGGATTTGGGATACATCATACAGGATATAGGATTCAAGGTATAGGATACAGGATACAGGATATAGGATACAGGATAGAATACAGGATTCAGGATATAGGATACAGGGTATAGGATACAGGATATAGGATACAGGATATAGGATACAGGATACATGGATACAGGATACAGGATATAGGATATAGGATACAGGATACAGGATACAGGATACAGGATACAGGATACAGAATACAGGATACAGGATACAGGATACAGAATACAGGATACAGGATACAGGATACAGGATACAGGATACAGGATACAGGATACAGGATACTGGATCCAGAATACAGGAAACAGGATTCAGGATATAGGATACAATATACAGGATACAGAATTCAGGAGATAACGGACTACAGGATACAGTGCACAGAGTAAGAATGCACGATTAGGGTTTCCAACGAACGAAAACTATCGCGAAAATTTCTTTCGTATTTTGCAAACAAGCTAAATTTCACATTTTTTCGCGAAAATGAATTTTCCGAAAAAAAGCTAAAACAAGGAAGAATTTCGTAAAAGAAAATTAAAATACGCGACCATTTAGCGAAAATTGGAAATATTTCTGTTTTTTTTAGCGAAATATCGAATTAATCTGTTTCGCAAAAATTGAAACATTCTGGCTAAACAAATAATGCAAAATATCTCGAAAAAAAATGTAAAATATTTGCCATTTTTTAGTATGCACAATACAGGATTCAGAACATAAGGAAATATAAAGATAGAGACAATAAAAAACAAGATACAGGATAGGATACAGAATACAATTGAAAGGATGCAGAAAAAGTAAAATATTAAAGAAACGTAATATGGATACAGAATACAGGATGTGTAACATTAAATGCAGCTTAATGTTCCCTATAAGAACAATTTCTACAATGTTAGTAGGTGCAGTACATAGGATTAGTTTATTCATTCAGTCATTTATACAGTGATAACCAGAAACCTCTGGAATATGAAGCCGACTTTTAAACTCAAATAATAACTTTAAATAGTCAAATGTGAATAAAACACAGCAATTGTACAGTGCAAACAGACCCATTTCACTAAATAAGTGGTTTAATAAGTTACAAGTAAACCTATATGCTTTGAAACAACACAAAATCATTTCAGTATTCCTTTAATGTCGTCTTCCTATTCTACAGTTTTCTGGTTATCACTGTAGATTTTTTTATCCATTCATATATTCTTTCATTCTGTTATAAATACTTTTATTCTTTTATTCATCCTTAGGTTCATCCTTTTATTCATCGAAAAGTTCATTCTTTTATTCATCCAATGGTTCAAGCTTTTATTAATTCATAGGTTCATCTTTTTATTTAATCATAGATTCTTTTATTCCTCCATATATTCATCCTTTTATTCCTCCATATATTCATCCTTTTATTCATCCACATATTCATCCCCCTATTCATCCATAGATTCATCCTTTTATTTATCCATATATTCATCCTTTTATTCATCCATAGATTCATCCTTTTATTCATCCATAGATTCATCCTTTTATTCATCCATAGATTCATCCTTTTATTCATCCTTAGATTCATACTTTTATTCATCCATAGGTTCATCTTTTTATTCATCCATAGATTAATCCTTTTAATCATCCATAGATTCATCCTTTTATTCAACCATAGATTTATCCATCTATTCA